GGTATTTGGCTTTGAATCTGGAAACGTTGGCTGTACTTTGATTATGATCTTAAAAAATAAATTCAGACGTTTTAGTAACGTTATCCATAAATTCTACTAATCCTTAAAGTAAGAAGCGGTTAAAATGTGAACCCTGTGATTTTTTCTTGTTTGTTTTAACATCATATATTAATTACATATATTTATTTGACCCGGTGAAAATTTTAGGGGCAATTAAACACTTTTTGCCAAATTGTTTTAGATGGAATCGTCCTGTTGTTTCTGGTGCTCCTGTAAATTTGACGCACAAGTGACATCTGCTAACGACAGCAACGGCCAACGAAGCGGCTTCTTCTGGCCGTTCATTTTCATAACAAAAAAGAAAATGTCATTGAACGCCTCTATGCTAAAAGGAGCTGGTCTATCAGCGAAGCTGTTCAAGCCTTAAACGCCGTCTCCTACGTAAACAGACGTCCACAGTCCACTTTCCCACAGAAGCGTTTATTCCAAGGATGTTTTATTAATGATCAGGAGTTTAATGAAAAAGCCGAAAACCGAATAGGTTTCACTTCTCATCAATCTGATGGCTGAATAACAGAATTAACAAATCGAAAACAATTAATATCGTCACCGTTCAGCTCAGATGTCGATTTATTTGATGATTTTTGCAGTTATTGTAGCTTTTTGAATCGAAAATGTCACTCATTTCATCGATCAATTGTTCTCGATTGAAATACAATTTACTGTGAGTAATTACAAACCCGGCAATTAACTCAAGTCAACATAGACTGATAAGAATGCCTCAATCTGAGGTTGTCCCAATACCAAGAAAATATATTAAAACTGTCAAATACACATTTGATAAAAACTGTGTCTGCTCTCACTGGAGGCCATTTTAAACTCCTCCAGGTTTTGATCTGTTTCGTTGACCCACAACAACTGTGACGCATCGGTGAAGGAAGTTCCTGTTAAAAACGTCTCTTTGACCACTTTTACGCAAAAGCGCATCAGCTTTCAATTATCCCAGAACATAAACGGCCGATTTAGTCTGAAGTCACTTAGTCTGCCAGTGTGGGAAGCAACAGGACGACCATGTAATGGTCAAACTCCCAGTTCAGCCAAACATTTATTTATTTTGGCCACAAACTACCACCAACTTAGCAGTGAGGCAAGCTGTGACATGTGCTGCCTCACTGAGAGGAGAATTAAGATGATGCCATTTATTTTTTTATATTAATAAAATAGAGTCACGGGTGGGGTGTGGGAAAGGTGTCAGGATCCACACATTGTTGCTGAAGAATGTATATCTGACTGTGAAAGTGTGAGAGCGCCGCTTGCAGAATAAATAGAGGGAGGCCCAGCATGTGTTAAAAAAAGAAAAGAAAAAAGAAAGCGATTTCACACCCTGTGCGTCTCCTTTTCTGCTCCTTTCCTTCACTCCGTTCATCCTTTCTCTAAAAATAGCTCCTTTTGATATTTTTTTCCCCCTTCCCTCGCTCCTCCTCTGATGCCTGCCAGTTTGATTGCATTTTTATCAGGCATATTTTTTTTCTGACAGGCAATTTTCGAGATTGCATCTCCGTTTCGGAGCGACCGGTGGCGTCTCCCGAGTCGGACGTCCCGGCCCGACCCGGCTCTGCTCTGCCGGGATCATTTTTACAACCTGTGAAACAATTCCTGGGACCAGCAGCTCTAACGAGCTTTGCGAGGCGACCTGGTATCTGAACATGACCATTTAGATGGCCGAAAGCTAATCTGCGCCACATGACCATGAGCCTTGGAGCTGCCTCCCTTTCTCAGTGGGTCTCACTGTTCCTGTACTCCTAACACACAGCCGACACCTTGCAGTCTGTTGACATGGCCGGACTGGGCTCGGATATCTGAGAGGTGATGAGCCCAGCTGGATCTTCACTCTGTGGCCTCCGATTTGTTATCTCTGTGAAAAGATAGCCGTGGAATCCGCTCGCAGGTCAGTGGGAGAAAAACATGGAAGAAGAAAGCTTTGCTGCTTTGTATTACATATTCAGATGTATTTAGTGCTGCAGTTTTGTCTCACTGATTTTATTTTGTATTTTTAACTTACCTTGAAGGGATAGTTGATATTTTTCAGATTTGGTCGCATGGCTTTTTCGTCACACGCATCATTTTTTTAATCAAACGTTTTTGTGTTAGTTTGAAGAAACACTTTATTTGTGCGACAATAGTCACGTGATCAACAACCGGATGCTGCTACTGGCTGAAACTACGAAGAAGAAGAAGGTGACAAGAAGTGGCAGCATGATGCGTTTCGACGACTTGCCGCATCAACAAACTAATTTACGTCAATTGCGTTTCTTATGTGACAAAAACGCATTAATCGCAAAATTTTCTATTTCTGACACCGACCCTTAAAATTGTAATGTTACACTGAGCGGCTCCAATGTTAGTTGTTGTTTATAAAAAAGAAAATCAACCTTTTCTTCTGAAGCCTGGGCTTTGACATTTGCTACCAATATAAGTTGCAGATTATCTTCTAGAAGGATATTAATAGAACAGGCGATAAAGAAGCAGCACGACCAAAATTAGTTCAACTCTTCAGTAGCAACTAATCTCTGGTCTCTGTTGTCGCTACTGAGAACTCCATCAAAGCCCATGTCAACAGAAAAAACAACAAACAAAACAAAAACTGTCTCTTTAAGAACATCAGCTGTATTGAGCTGTTCCAGTTTGGTCCCCCTACAAAGGAGGAGGAAAATATAACCATTAAAACCCTCCCGACCCTCATGGGAAGAAAAAAGGAGAATTGTATGTGCCTGATGAAGCAGATGCAGAAGGGAGGTCAGGTTTCAGGGTCAAGCATCATCTTGAACAGACTTAGTTTATATGTGAAGTGCCAGGCACCTTGTTTTGCATGCGTTTCACAAGCATCATGGAGAAATACAGACGGTCCGCTCCACGCTCCGCCCACTTCTTTCAGCTTGGTTTGAGAGTGGAGGTAATGGTGGAGGTGCCAGGAGTTCAGAGGAATTGTTAACAGAGCAAAACAGAGAGAAGCTCGCAGAGTGCAAATCTTTCAGCCGGGTCGGGTCTGGTCTGTTCTTTGTCCGTTGTGAAGCGGCTGCAGTTTTTTCCGACCCAATCAGGGGTGAATTTTAAGCTACTTTTAAGTGGGCGGGATTATTTCTTTCTCTGAGGTAATTTTGTAGCACAATCCAGTAACTATGTTGACTTAATGAAGTTAGAAAAATGCTACATATATCCAATGTGACTGGAAATCAATTTGATTTAATAATTTTGCGCCTTGAATCTGTTTCTTTAAAAACTCCTGATTTGTCTGAAGCTCTGCCTTCAACAAGTCATCACAACATGGCACCTCCATTTGCAACAGTTTCGACCCGCGTTGCTCTGAGGAGTAGGTTGTATGACGCTAAGTGTTGCTGGCTAGTCTGAAGGAGCCGAGTTGGAGGGGGGAAAAGGTGGGACGGAGGCGTGGTTTGAAAGGCGGGAGCTCAGAAGCCTGAAGGTGCAGCTCTGAGGCGGAGCTTCACCTCAAAGGCGGAGCTAGGTCCAACCAGGCGGTTTGGAGAGCGGGATGGTTGCCATGGAGATTTAAGATTGCTCAAACACTCATGAAAGAATCAAGACGACGCTCCAGGTGTGTTTTGATGAGGGAATAACATTATAGCGTGATGTAAAGCTCAGAAAAGGTAATTTTACATAATTCTGCTCATTTGAAGAGACAGTAATTATCCTGTATGTAAACTTATGATCCTGAAGACATTAATAAATCAGTTATTGACATTCTTTCTCTCATTATGGTGGCATTCAGTAAATAGCAGTAATTTTTTTAATAGTTCAAACTGACCCAAACAAGACAAGTTTGGTCCAGTTAACTTCAAATAGTGAGGGAAGAAAATGTTTGTGGGTTTTTATCCAGGGTATGTAAACTTCTGGACTGAGCTGTGCTGTTTCCCTTTCGTGTTGCCTTGCTCGAGCCTTGATTGCACTTGTGCAACTCAGGCCTATAATTATCCAAATCCCTGTCAAAAGAAAACTGAATTTAAACTCCCACCATATTTTCAAGCTAATTAAAGTTCATTACGTTGTTTTCTTCTTTCTGGAACTGGTCCCAGCATTGTGCTTTTCTGTAGAAGGGCAGAAAACAGCAAATCCATCCAGGGAGGGTTCAGTGTTTTAACCTTATATGTATGTCAGCTTGAGAAAGGTACTTTTTTAACTACGAATCCTTGCAAAAACTGTTCATAGTTCAATTTTTGTTGTTTGTTGAAGTTCCAACCACAGAGTTTCATGTATTTTATTGAAATGTGATGTGGCAGAACAACACAGTAAGTATCTTTCACAATCGGTCACAAATACTCCCAAGGACGATTGGTCTGCTCCGAAGGGAAGCAGACCCTGCCTCCAGGAGCTGCCTTTCACTCATAATCACTGGAACATTGATCAATATATTTGATTTTCTTGACCATTTTGATGATGAAAATGTGACGTTTGGTTTCTGTGTTGAGCATTTCTGGTGCACAGCACTTTGAAATGCCTTGCTGCTTCACAAATAAGCTTGATATGAATGAGATTTTGTTGCGGGATTCTATATAAACTTTACTCTTAGTGTGGTTATGAGGAAAACCTTGTCATCACTGGGCTATTGTCTGTCCCTCTCTGTGCACGGTACCCTGTCCCACACTCGTTTGGTGACCTTGCAAGCCTTTCAGTAATCAGTCTGCTTTTTTCTGCTCTTCTTTTATCTCCGTCCAAGGCCAGCCTCTCTGTTGTAGGTGTTCAGATAAAAGAGAACAGACAGGAGGAGGTTTAGTGGGGGTTATGGCTGTGTGAGGTCAGTCCTCTCTGTCTCCTCTGAACGTGAGTTTATTGCTAAAATAAAAGCTTCCCGACCTCAGACTGCTTCTCGCACATCAGCATAACGCTTCTCTGACCGATCAGGTGACTTTATTTAAAGAGCCGCGTCGCAAAACTTTGAGAGGACGCGCACACGTGTTGACGGTGACCTCCGCTTTGTGCCGCAGGGTCCCGGCGGAGCTGACGAGGCGCCATGCCCAGACCCGATCCCGTCCCAGCAGCCCAGGGCCCAGCACAGCTTCGTCCAGGAGCACTTCCAGGCTCAGTACAAGTGAGTTTTGTCCTCCACTCCGCAATCACATCTGCTTCGAATAAATGCTGCGACAAAGGAACCGGCGGTGGCTCTTGCAGCGGTGATTTCCCCCATGATGAGCGTGGGGGTGTGAGGCACTTGTTGATGGATTTTTTCTTTTTTTCTTAATTGTCCAAGTACATCTTGTGTTTGATTTTCTCCTACAAGATTTGTGGTGTCTTTTATTGTGCCCGAACTAAATGTCAGCAAAGTCCCCGACTCCCCCGACATGCCAACCTATTATTTGTATTGAGAGTTAACAGCATCAGACAATATTTGGTGCTGTTGTGTTTTTCAGATTGTCTAAATGTCAACTCAAAAGTCATATCTTATAAAGCTACCGTTCGCAGGCAAGGCTGCCATAGTTGTGACTTTTTAAGAAATTGCTTGGATTTTTTTTAAGAGGTTTAAAATACTATGTGTGGTTAGTAGTTTATACTTTCTTGTTAAAGTCATTAGCTTAGATAGAGACGATTTCTGGTGACTCATTATGTTTCTAAACATAACGAGGTTTCGTTCGTTAATGCTCGATGTCGTAAGAGACACACGTCAGAAAAGACAGCGAAATCCCCCTTTTATAAAACACAAATTGACGGGAAAAAAAACCCGCACTGTGAAATAATTGAATGCAACACTATTGGTCAGGATTTCTCCCGCTGATGTCAGCTAGTTGTTGCACTGACAAACATCTCGTCTCTGGGAGCTTCGAAACAACAGCAGAGCAGCAGATGAGATTATACATTTCCAAACGATTAGTTTGGTCTGTGTTCAAAAAATGTGCTAAGGTCTGACGCCACGGCACGGCACATCAAATCACGCAAATCACCATCAGACACCCAATGCTTTAAGGTGCGTCAAAAAAAAAAAAAAAAAAAAAAACAACCCATCGATCATTGGTTTAGACTTTGAGTCATACAGGACTGAGAGGTAAGCAAAGTCCAGCTGATTTCTATATGACCAAATATGGTCACAGATTGTTGAATTGTAGGCCTGGAAAGCCTGCGCTTTCTTTTATAGCTCATTAAGTAAAGTTCAAACCAGCAGTATGATGCAATTTATTTTTTTTATTTTTTATTTTTTTGTGGTTTTCAAAGCAATTCAGAGCCATCAATCAGAAACCAATCCATAAAATCATCAGACTGTGGGTCAGTTTAACCTTTTGCTTGTTGTTATACTCATTTTGTTGCCACTTTTCTTCTTTCTTTCTTTCATTTCATTTCATCTACTCAAACTGTAAATCGACATGCTGGACCCATGCGGTCAACCCAGTCCAGATCAGCTTAAGTTTATTCTTATCTAACTGTACTTTGAGTGACAGAATTATAGCTGAATTATAGAAATACACAAATTTCACCAGTTCATTTGATCCTATATTATTTTCTTTAGACTTTCTTTCTGTTCAGTGGTTCTGATCCGTGACCATCTCCTAGGCGAGAAGTATTGTATTCACACCAGTAACTCTCTAGAGTCCCTTTACTTGTGCTGAAGTAATAAGCATATTTAACTGTGCCAGTGGCCAAGATTTTGTTTTATTTTATGTTTTTATAATAGTCTGTTAATGCCTCTGTAATTCATTTTATTTTCTGGAATCAGCTCTCGTAATCAAAAATGCATTTAGCTGTAAACCTGTGAGGTTACCAGCACACAGCTGGAGGTCCTCATGGCTTCCATTAGTCAGACATCTAGGAGATAAAAATAAAGCAGTTATTATTAGACGCTGCGTGCATCTGTTGGGATGGGGATTTTTGAGCTTTTGTCTGAATGTTTGGTCTGGAAATGTCCACTTTCTTTTCGGTTTTATTATTGGATCACATGCGAAAAGTCTGCACACCCCACACACAGACAAACATCAAAGTCCAGGTTGCATATGGACATAGACTGTACAATTCCACTGGTAGTCAAATAAAAATAATAATAAAAATCTAAGTTGCACAGCGTTAAACTAATACTTGGAGGAAAACACCTTCTGTGCATACGTTTGGTTGAGCTGCGTTCCCTTCAAGTTCATCATGTGAACAAACATTTTTGATCTCCACGACGCCGACCACACGACACACACAGCGGTGGGCGCCGCGAGCTAAACAGTTAGCCGTGCTAACCCTGCAGCACCAAACACAAACGCTAGTCCCGCTAACAAGCTACACCAACACGGTATTTAATGGAAGCTAATACTGACCCGCTAGTTGCCATGTATCAATGACTCCACACTTGCTGCAATGCAAATGACAAATAACACAATGGCAAATACAGACATATATATTTTGCCTTTACATCAACACATAACGACACATTTATCATTTACAAATATTTGGAAGATGGCTGGGTTTTCTCCATATTAATATTTTGTCTTTGCCTTTTTTTTGCCCAAAACACGTGACAATATAATCTTTAACTAAAGCGACAACACTTTTTCTTTCTGTTATTTTATCGACTTTTAAATACTAAAATGTTTCTTGCGCTTCAAATGGCATCTTTTATGGAATTAATGACCATCCACCAGGGGAAGTCATTTTTCTCCCAGACATCTTTCATTAGTCGGTAAGCAATCAATTCATAGGATAAATCCTCCGTTCGCAAATCCTGTAGCCAAGGCAACATCAAGGTCCATACCTTTTGTCCCCAGAACAAATGTCTGGTTGTTTCCTCGTCCCTGCATTGGGGCCTTGGGCATTGGGGCCTTGGGCATTGGGGCCTCGGGATTGGGGGCCCCTTGTACAATCCTCCTGTATAGAAGGGCTCTTATAGAAAGACACTGATTAGCGATTTGCCAAGCCAAGTCCGTATGTATATTCAACAAGGGTATGTTAACATTTTTCCATGTTATCTTTATCAAATCTTCGTGTCAATCTGTTAGAGAGGGACAATTTTTCTTCTATTTTAGCTCATTTAATATTTTCTGGTAGAATCTCTTTTAAATCATAGTTCAGTGACTGACTTCCTGTCTTGAAAGTAGAAGTTGTTGTTGAGCTAATTTAGCTAAACGACAACGGTAAATTAGCGCTTTAGAATTTATGTGGAAAAATTATGTTATGGAAAGCTAAGCTAAGTGTTTTCCAAGTTAGCTGAAGCGCTGAATGAAAAATTAGCTCTGCTATTAGCACGCTAGCGGATTAGCCAACATGTGTGGACGATGCTTTTTTTTAAGTTCATCTCCTGACTGACACTTTTGTGCAGCGAGATTATTGCACAACAACTTGTTGTCACTGACATATTTCTAATGTTTAATTTTGTTATTTCTGTTTTCTCTGTATCGTGACCTGTGCTGATGCCTTATGACACTTGTGCCAGCTGAGATCTTGATCATTAAGGTTTTCATAAAGTTTTTAAATGTTGAACCCTCCAATGAAGACAGCTGAACTTCACTTCAACTTCATTAGATTCTCCATAAATTACAACTGCTATGTACCCAGAAACACATTATGCTGAGATCGAATCAAAATTTGCTTCGGAAAATTATTTGTCTCAGTGTGATGTGCACACTTACGCAACCAGGTTATTTCAGAAGTGTTTTTGCTTTTCGGTTGCGTGGTAGATGTGCCAAATAAAGGTAGGAAATGTTCTGAGCAGTCACATTCTTTTCACAGCCCTTTGAGAGGCGCTGCAGGTGACATCTTTCTTAGATTCACCTTCTATTGCTGGCAACTCATCCCTCTAAACGGTTTATCCAATCAGCCGTTCGAGAAGCTGACCAATTACGACAACGCTCAATCTGATCTGACAAAGGTTTACGGCCCTTCTCCGCAGAGCAGCTAATATCCCCCGCTTGTCTGCGCCGCTTTCCATCTGCTAATTCCTGGGGAAATTGACAGCTCCGTGTGACTACCAGTAATACATCTGTTGGAGCGCGGCTCTTAATTGCCAAACCTCGCTGTCAAATGTTTCAGCGCTGACACGTCGGGGTGTGTCTTACACAGCAACAAGCGCAATTAGCAGGCGAAGTCTGCGCCTCCCGTCTCCCACTCAAACTCCGTGAGGCGGTGCGGAGAGAGAGACTCAGAGTCTGTTTTAAGACTCCCAACAGCAAAACAAAAAATCCCCAGTAGACAGCATGCGTCGAGCTGGGTGAAAATAAACACCAGTCATCACCAGGAATCGACTTGGATCAAAAAAGCACTTCTCGACTCGTGTCCCCCTTTCCTCCGCTTGTGTAACGCTTCTCCGATGCAGTGTCCAGCGTGAGGCAATGTCTGGAGTTGACGGACTGGAGATTTATTCCTGTAATAGCCCAGTTTGTCCAGGGTAGAGTCATCGCAGCCATTAAACATGCCCAAGCCTGTCAAATCACAGCCACAGCTAGAGGAGCCGAGCGATATTTCGTCTTAATTTGCTTGATGCTGTCATAATATGGACCAGATATTCTTTATTTATTTTTATAAATTTTTCTGTTATAAAGTGCAAATACTTCCTGTCAACACTTATGTATTCATACCCCTTGATCTAGTATCTAGTACAGTGAACATGTGGAGTGCTCTGGCCAACATGAAATACACTTATGCTTCAATGGATGATTCAGATCTTAGCACATCCATGTGTTTGAATGACGTAGTCAAAGTCCTGGCCGAAACTCGGTGTTTTCACGCCTGACAGTCCGGTGGACTCGGTTTGATTGAGGGCCAAAATTGTGACATTTGCAGCATTTTCAGCTGGTGAGATTCGCTTTCACTGCACTGCGTGAAATGATCCAAACCTTTGAAACCCGTTCCCCTCCTCGCCTGTGGCGGCGCTGCACCAAGAACCACTGAGAGAAACGTCACGGAAACCTCTGAAGAAGACGTGAGATCAACTCATGTCTTCTGTTTACAATTTTCCGAAAACGTAAACAAGTATTCAGTGGCGTTGGATTCTAGCGGTTGTAGGATTTCTCTGTCGTCGTTGGCAAAAGATGCCAAGCCATTTCTCCCATGCTTTTTGGTTGTATTTACCCAGGATGCCCTGCTCTACTGCCTGTTTCTGATCTCCAGTCCGCTTGGCATTCACATGTGCCTTTCGAACCACTGCAACCGAACTGAGAATAGGTTTGCAGATGGACCAGAGTTCGCTTTTTTGGTCTGCATCGGAGTTCGATTGCGCGCTCACACCTCCCCGATCGAACCAGACTTTCTCGGCAAACAAACAATATTTGAATTAAAGTGGACTGAACAGTGCTGGTGTGAACGCATCCCAACCCTGAACAACACTCTGAATGCAGCAACCGAATGGTGAAACATGGTGGTAAAACATTTCCGGGGCTCTGTGACTACTTTCCACATGTGATCCTCTTTATCCTTGTAATGGCGTATCTTAAGACACGTTTTAAAGATGGAAATCTTTCATTCGGCTGGTCGACTCGATATATTTGAGCTTTGTAAATAGTACACAGTCATATGAAAGTGTCAGTTGAGCCGTGCTCACTGTCCTGAAGCCAGGCGATGGACAGCCAAGTGTTTCATTGCAGACGTTTAGTGCATCTCGTCTTACTCCGGCGGCACATTTTCCCCAAAATGCCCCCCGCCGTTTTCTTCAATTCGCTCAAATACTGTTGTTCTTCTTTACCTTGTTTGTAGACTTCTTCGGTTTACGTCTTGAGCACAAATCACCAAAGCAAACGAAGGCCTTTTTCTTCACTGCCGTTGCTGAAAGAAGCAAATGAATACGTGTAAACGGTGCGTCGAGTTCAAATCTGTGCCACTGCAGAGCGTCGAGTCGCTTCAGCATGGCTGCGTCTCAGACAGGGAGACGCGAACCTCTCAACCTTGGCACGCTTGCTCCATTAGAGCATCTCTGGAATAGCACCTCATCTGTTGGCGCTTTTCTTTTTTTTTTTTTTTTTTTTTTTTTTTTTGTCCTTCTCCTCTCTCTCGCTTCTGGTGTTTCAGAGCCGGACAGGGCGCATCTATGTCTCAGTGGAGTCTGAGTGAGATTTGCATGCATGGAGGGCCGTCAGCCTAACCGTTTCCTGGCAAAATTAAGACATCCGTGGGGCAGCCGTACTACTCTGCCAAGAGGGCGAGATCCACTCAGAGTCCTTGTCAGCTGGGTTTGCTTGAACAGAGCTTTATTCACCTCCTCCCAGTCTGCTCCCCCTGTACGTCTGTCAGAAGGAGAAAAACATTTGATCAAGTTATTTGTGTAAAGATCCACAAAGGCACAAAGCTCTCTTCCCTCTCTTTGCCAATGCAAAATAAGACGAGGGATATGCTGTTGAATTATTTGATACACTATCTGACTGTGTATATTTTTACTATAAATGTACACTCACAAAAAAAACACACATCTGAGAAAGATTTTCAAAAGCTCTCTAAAACATGTTGATCCTTCTTTATGAGAATCTCGGTTGATGACGCCACAAGAGGCACAGGATTTGCTGGAGCAGCTGCCATTTGTAAACACTGTGGCAGGCCAGCAAATGTTTCATTAATCACGCCACGTTAACGTTGCATGTTTAAAACTGAATTATTACATATTTTTGAGGACGAGGATTGATTTTGGAGTTAATTATGCCTCAATTTGAAGGAAAGTAAGGATCCTATTAATCAGTCGTGGTAGAAGACGTGCACCTGACTCGCCCCACAATCAGACGTCGCTGTGATGGAAGAAGAACGTCAAGACGCTGTCGAAGCACTGCTTACGGAAGCGATGACGGCCGGCGCCGTCTGGGGAGGAAGTTTCTTTAAACAGCTAAAGAAAAATTCGAGCGATGAGCCGGAACATCGAAAGAACTGGAAGGAATCCGCTCCCGAGGCCGGCGCCAGTTTCCTGAAGGGCGCTTTTGTCTGGACGTCCAGGAGGAAGTCCTCACGGGCAATCGCGTATTTCGCTGCTTGTCCAGCGATTAAAAACCTCACAGATGACTGGAAAAAGAGCCAACTCTTTTCCTCACTTGAATGAAATTCTTCTGAGAGCTGCAAGGCTCTCTTCAGAGCTTAAAGTTGGAGCATAAAAGGATAATGGCTCTCTTTGAGCAGCTTTTTAGAAGTTTGAAGAAGTCGCTCAACTGGATAGAGAACATGTTTATATATATGTGTATATACATATATAAAACAGTTGTTGCATGAAAATGTTGCAAAGCTACTTTTATTTTTTAAATAACAAATGTCCTGTGAAGAAGCTTCTACCAGTTGTGCTCTAAACCAAATGATTTCCTGTCTTTCACTGTGACGTCACAAGTGTTTTTATTGCAGTCTCAATTCTCCCAACATGCATTAATTACAGTCTGGGTTTTGTTGCTGCCGGGTCGTTCCACACCTGTTTTCACTTTATGTGCAGCGTGGTGGGTTCCAGATTTACAGTTCCAGATTTACACCACCCGTGATCCTAGTCTAGGAAGTGAAATGCAGGAGCAGAAAAAATGCTTCAGTCCCTTGTTGATTCCCTTGATGTATCGCTTCCCGAACGGCCGGCCGGGGCTCCTGCTTTCGGTCCGGCCACAGAGGCGAAATATATGGAGCCGGACCGTGTGAGCAGACGTCCCGGTCCCACTTTCGGTCACGTTGTTGCCCGGAGGAGTCACAAACCTGTTCTGCCAATGAAACAAACAAGAAGAAGAACAAATTCTGAGAAAATAATGGAAATATCCCTCATTGTCCCACCTTGGGGAAATTCAGGTGCAACAGCTACAAAGAGACAAGCAAATCTAAAGAATTATGCTAAACTAATGCTATCATGTCATCTTACCTAAACATAGACCTATGAAAGGTCAAAGGAGATAAATTGATCAGTTTAAGTGGTCTCTTCATTTTTACAGACCTGTATTATATATCTAAATATCTAAAAATAAAAACAAACAAGTTCGAAATAATAATATGCTGTGGAATAAAGGCAAAATTATAGCATCATCTAAAATATTATACTTCAGTCCAAAGAATGTGCAACTGAGTAGGATATTTTTTTAAAATGGACAACAAAAGACTATTTACCGTACATGAAAAATAAAAAATAGATCAATGCAAATAGCACCAGGAGTGTTTCTAAAAATGAATAAGGACTATGCAGATACCAGCAGGAATCTAAACACTTATTGATTTTGTTGGGGTCAGAATGGAGTCTAACATCTGGGAGGAAGGATCTCCTGTATCGCTCCTTTGTGCACCTGGGATGCAGCAGCTGTACGGCTCAGCAACAGCTTCATATGTGGGGGTTCTGATTAAATATGGTGCCTCGCAAAAGTGGTCAAAACCCTGAAATATTTTCCCGTTGTGTTTTGTTACAAAGTTCAAAGTATTTGTTTGGGGTTTGGAGGTCAATTTTCCAACGACTCAAACATGGAGACAACGCTTAATTCAAACTTAAATATGTGTAAAGCTGGTAGTGACACACTGTAACAGTAGCTTCTGCAATGTGCCGACCCACATTGCATGACTTTGTTGATATTTTCCGTTCTAAAAACAAAAAGTCGATTTTGTCTTCTTTTTATTTTTTTATTCTGGCTGCATTAAGGTAGACTATGTTCACATCCCTTTAAGACGCTGCTCTGCGTCTCCAGGCGTTCATTTTTAGGCCACTTAGTTTGTGTTAATCTGTTACATAAAATCCAGATAAAAAAAAATAAACACAAATAAACATTGACGTTTGTGGTTGCAACATAAAAAAACTTTCTTTATTTCATGTCCAAAACGTCTTGACGCTTTTTTTGAACGGCTTCAAATTTGTCATAAATCATTGAACGGGTTATTTCTGCTGCTTTCATTCATTTCTGTGCGTTCAGATGTAAATAGGGAAAGTTGCCTTCACTTCTCACAGAAAGTGATGCAACAAGATGGAAACCTTTTCTGCCCCCTCCCCTCCCACCTCCCCTATTCACCCCCCAGGGGGGCAGCTTGTACTAATTCTGACCCCCCAACCCCCTCCGTTCACATCCATTGCCTCTGTGATTCATCAGCAGTTGCATCACTCGTCGTTTTTTTTCCTTTCTCACAATCAGATCCAGGCGGAGCAGCGGCTTCGTTTTCACCACGTTGACGGCTGAACTCCTTCACCAGGAGAAGATTCTTTGTGTGTCAGTTCGGAAATCAAATAAAGTTGTATTTTGTCCTTTTTTTTCTTCTTCTTCTTTTGTTGCTGTTCTTTCTTTTCCTCAGATCTTCCCTGACGTGTCCCCACTGCCTGAAACAGAGCAACACCTTTGACCCTTTCCTCTGCATCTCGTTACCCATCCCTCTCCGCCAGACGAGGTGAGCCGACTCTCTTCAGGTTGACATCTTCGTGCCTGCTCGAAAACACACCCAGGGGGAGGCGAAGGTCTCCGACGGGTTGCCAATTGAAAGTAACTGAAACTAGCACTTCTTTAAGGGATTACCTGAGTGTTTTCATAGTGGTGGACATTTTGCAAGTTTGATTAAGCTGGGAAAAGGTTTAGGAAAGCGTCAACAAGCACGAGCTGAAAAGTGACCGGGGCAGCTTCGTCCCGCGGTCGTGCGCTCCCCGCCGACGCCGGGGCTGATTCAGAAAAGGAAAAGCCTCACAATGTCAGGGAACAATGTCTCATTCAGACTGACTTCGCTTCACCCACGTTATCCTCCGCGGCAGGTTGGGAGCGCTCGCTCTGCTCAGGAAATCCTGGCATTTTTGGAACGCTCCATTCAAACTCTCCTTTTGTATTTATGCGTCCGTTGAAGCGCTCACACACACACACACACACACACACACACGCACGCATACGCGCGGAAGAAAATAATCTAGACGTAAAAATGTAACGGCATACACTGAGCTCTTTGCAAATGTATTCAGCTTTTCCCTCTCTTTTTTTTCCCGCCAAGATTTTCACATCTTAGATCTTCAAATTTTAACTTATTTTAGTGGGGTTTTGTGCGTGTGAAAGATCAACATCAATCAGCGTCGTCTGAGAATAATATTTTACTCCGATGCCCCTAAATTAAATCCAGTGCAACCAAGTGGCAATTTCCATTCATCTGCCGCTGAGGAAACTTTCCACAGATCCACCGCCTCTGTCAGTGACATGGCAGCATCGAGCTAAATACAGCCTGTAAAAAATCAATAAAATAATCAACACTTCCATCATAGGAAAGTTTGCAACTCTGGCTTAAAACGATGAAGAATTAACTGATGTTTTAAATATGAATTTAATAACAAATTCCGGGGTGTTTTGCAGAAGCTTTTTTTGTGTATTAAGTTTATTTTTCACAACAGTATAACATTAAAAATACCAGTAATATTATCAGGTGTTTTTTGTGATTGAGTTGGAAATTATGTGCTTTTTTTTGTGCTTTTTTTCCATAAAGTTCAACACCAGTCGCAATATGTCTTCTGTAGCTGAACCTCGGACTGCAAAGGCTGCAGAGCTCTGGCTCAGATCAAACCAGATCCAGCTGACCCAGAGTCATGATTGAAAGCCAAACTCGAAATCTGTGGCGAGATTTGAACGTTTCATTCTTTTCATCAACTTTGACGGAGCGTAAACTGTCCTGCTGAGGCAGATGGACAAATATTTCAGTCTAAATGTACAGCGCCGGTCCACTTGCAGCTGTAAATCCTGTTTGCGCAGGACATCGATAGCGACGACTTCTTCTTCTGCTGCACAGCAGCTGCGTGTCGATCTGACATGTGAAATAATTGAGCACTTTGAAGTTCGAGGCCAGAAGGCGACATGACTAGTTTTGTAAGGTACTGGATGAAGTCCAGTTTTCTTTTTACCTTAACACACCCAACGCGTCAGCACTAATAAGCAGAATATTTTCCTGCGTTTCGCTCCCCGTCTCGTCCGGTGGAGCTGAGCTGCTGAGGCAGCTGTTATGAATCGTAATGAGGCAGATGAGCCGCCCTCACTGGCCTTCATCGACACGCGCAGCATCCTAGAGCCAAAAGGACAATTATTAGTTCAGATGTTCAAAAGCATGAGTGGATTCTTTACTTTTCGGAATATTTTTAACGGTTTAAACAGATTGTCTTTTGAAGCAGAACAGTTCAGCTCACGTACATCGAGGCCAAAAACACACACTTTTTTGTTCCTCACCCAACATTCACCGTGGTTCGGAGTTTGAGCCGTTGGCTCTGTCCTCTGAGAGCTTCATGCTATTTTTAATTGGCACCATTTGGCTTGCGTCGCACGCCGCCATGTAGGATTCTTCCTGTTTCCGTCGAAGTTTGTTTTCACACCTGACAGCGAACTGCGACACCTTTGGTGAAACCTGTTCCGCTCCCCGCTTTTAGCAACTAATCTGCGATTTTACTAAATGAAGACAGTTACCTGGTGCAAGCTCCCAGCTCCTCATCACATTTTGACATAACCCCAAAGTGAAGGACTCTAATGTTTTTGCTTGACTACCTTATATCAAAGTTTTGTCGTGCCTTTGACGGATTCTCCCTTTTTGTCAGTACTCACACTCACACTGGGTGAGAGGAAATGGAAGAAGATGGAAGCAAATACAGAAAATGGAAGAAAGCGAGTGGCAAAAATGAGCCCGACAGCACACAACTCGAGGCAAAGCGACTCCAGCGTCTCATCGAGGGACCCACAAGTAACCCCCTGACCCCCGGCTGCACGCGTCAAAGCGTAGACGTCTCCGATCAGAAAGCGAGTTATCTGTTTGACCTTGTGAGCGCGCGGGAGGAAAAGAGCGTCGCTGTCAGAGAGGAGCCTAAGAGTTAAAACCTCCAGCTCTCAGGCAATTCCACCAAGTATCGACTCAAAGAGGAAAAACTTCACAGGGTTACTGAATGACTCCGTCAGAACGGATCCCGTTGAGTCTTTGTGGGAGGATCTTTAAACTGGCGGTGCGCTGCGAGTCGTGACTTCCTCAAAGATACGGAGCTGGAAACTGTTTCCGTACAAAAAAAACGAACCCAAGCTGGTTGTCAGCCCACCAAACGTTCATTTCTGCGGACTCTGACCTCATGACTCAAATGTATGAACTCACAGTGACCCCAGTAGGTGATGGGCAATATTTATCATAAACATACTAAGCCAAGTTCTGATGTTTTAGAGTAGACTTGGTAGGTAGTCAAGCTATTGTTTTTTCTCTGACGTAAAAAAAGTGGATCAGTACATCCCTAGTAATGAATCGAGAATTGATAAGTGATCGGACCAATGAGGGATTTCTAAACCAGGAAGTGACAACTAAAGACGTTCCAGAGGCGAGAGCTGAAATCGAGGTATTGAGCTTGGAGGACTGGATTACTGTCACCAGGACTGACAGTCTGGCACCTCGCAAGAGGCTGTTGAGCTGAAGGCGTCAGACCGTCAACCGCAGAGTCCTCGTGGAAATGAGCAGCACAGGAAGGAGGAAACGGAGGGAAAATAATGACCAGACGTACAGATAACAGCACGGGGGAAACATCAACGTATGCGTCTCTGTACGTGCCGTTTTCAAATCTGGAACAGTGAATCCATCGATATTCTTTTTTTTGTGAAATTTGGATGCACAACGTTAGCATTTCTGGTCAATAGTTTCCAACTGGGAAAGACGTGCAGAATGTAATTATTAAACCTCTTTTGTAGTGGAAGTGAGATGTCTTTTTTCTCTCTCTCTCTCTCTCTCTCTCTATCTCGTTGGGTAAAAGTTAAAGCGACCTTGGGGAAAAAAATTACTTTTATAATCGAAATTCATGTCATTCACATCCTCATTGAATTTTTAACAACTCTATGGACTTTGTACTTCTTAACCTTTATTGACCTCCCCGCCGCTGGAATACCAACAGAGTCTACAGCAGGACACAACGCCCGGTAGACTTTCCCCACACGCTGCACATGTGCATTGAATTTTCTTTTTTTTTCTTTTACCTAAACATGCTTTGTCCCCAATGCTTCCAAACATCAACAACATGGATCATTTGAGCCGCTTTTCAGGGGAAGTAGCAATTCTGCAGGAATGGTTTGTGGTGATATTATTTAAAAGCCCTTTACTTGCATTTTTTGTTTTTGTTTTTATTTCAGAGACCCGTTTGTCATACAAAACTCAGCTCCCAATCCATGTTTTTTTAATTTTTTATCTAAGCGTAAATAGTTTTGTAATTGATCTCTCGTGGTGATTAAACAAAACCTAATTTACATTGATGCCTATAATCATATTCATACTTTAAATGGCAAAAAAATAGGATAATACTCTCTGCTTATCTCATTCTGTATAATTGCTGTTTTTTGCCTGGTTGGTTTTGTCTCAGGAATAATCTGTTCCTGATTCTGCAGACGTTTCGTCCACCAGAGAGGTCAGATCCAAGCGCTGCCTACTTTAAAAAAAATGCAACAGAGATCTCCCATTATTTCACACTCATAAAGCTGAGTCCTAATTATTTATTATTTATGCTAAAAAGCATTTCTTTATTTATGGAGGCCTTGTTCTGTCCCTTCATGGCCGGGGAGGATCCAAACAAAGAAAAGAAGGGAGGGGGAAAAAAGAGCAGAAATCAAAACGGAGGACGCGTTACGTCTCTCGTCCTTTGTCTTCGTCAGGCTGCTGTGCGTCACTCTGGTGTTCAGCACCAAAGGCCAGCGGTACCTGCGGGTCGGCATGGCCGTGCCTCTGTTCGGCTCCGTGGCCTGCCTGAGGAGGATGGTGGCGGACGAGGGCAAGCTCTCCCCAGACCAGGTAAGCTCTCGAAAGCGACAGAACGAGGAAGAGCGTGGTTCGAGGAACCCGACAGCAACCCGTCCTCTGCGTGTCCGCCGGTGTCGTCCTGCAGGTGATCCTCACAGAGGTGTACTCCACCGGGTTCCACCGCTCCTTCTTTGACGAGGACGACCTGACGCGCATCGCCGAGAACGACGTCGTCTACGCCTTCCAGGCGCCCCCGCTCTACATCAGAGGGGGGTCTGCGCGCATCTCAGGTACCTGTGGGAACTGAGCTCCACTGTTTTTTACCTTAAAAGTTCTTTGTCACAGAAAAACAAAACAAAAAAAGCGGCGCCGGCGACGCACGGAGACAGCTGTCAGTCTGCCTCACAAAAAGTATTTATTACAATCCTGGGAGCTTGTCATGTTTTGTCAGGTTGAGAGTCACAAACTTTAGGCAGAGAGTTTAAATAATAGACCAACACAAAGCGGTGCATGATGGTGAAGCACAAGGAAAAAATGTACGTTTTCAAAAGTTGTGCAAATGGAAACCTGAAAAGTTTGACCTCCTTATATCAGATCAGGTTGTTCAGAGAGAAACAGACACATTGTGTTTAGAATAACTAATTGCATTTTCTGAAATATTTGAAAGGAGGTTGGCTACATTGCTTCTGTGTGAAACCCTGTCAACTCAGCTTTTTACATTCAGTTGCAGGAATTGTAAGAAAAGCATATGTGCAAAGCCTTATTGAAACGTGAAGCATTTCGAATGCTTTTCCTTCTACCTGAGTAGATGGTCTTGCTGGGTTTTAGAAGAGAAAAACTGATGACAGTGCGTCCCCAGCGCTGGCGCTTCTAACGTAACATCAGGAAGTGTCCATTATTCATCAGAAGCGGGCCAAGCAGATTCCTCTATCCAATGCCGAGTGTGGATTTATGCAAAAGAAATCCCTCACAGTCATAAATAATGTCTCATTAGAAATGTGTGGTGGTTTCTCAGCAGAACCTGTGGCCATTCTGCCTTTATTGTGTTCGTTTATTATTATTATTAGTAGTATTATTATTATTAGTAGTAGTAGTATTATTATACTCTGCCACAAAAGAAGGGTCCAAATCTTTTGTTGTTTGTCTTTTCCGGATTTGTTGTGAAAAATGTTCAGCTAATGCCATATTGGGTTGAAAAGTCATTGCTCTTCATGCAATTTAATTACTTTTTACCAATTAAATAGATGAATTAATCAGCATATAGGTCAAACTGCCCTCCTATTGGAGCCACTTTAAGCATTCGGCATGCTGAAGTGAGTAAATGTTCATCAATGCACAAAAAAAAAAAAAAAAAAAATCTGAATTCAGTTGCAGGATTGATCCATGCATAAATTATTGCCTTTTTATGAATTATCTTATTCATTTCATACTTATTGAATGCAATGTTATTGACTGGACTTCCTACAGCACCATAAATGTGGTTTAAATTTCATCCATAAAAAGCCATGAATTAATTTTTGATTGAATCCTATTGATGATCCTATTAAACAATAAATGTAGACATTTTCATATGCATGTTGTGAAAATATTACAAGCATGGACCCTATTGTAGAACCGAGGAGGAAAGAGTATCTGTAAGATCTTTACACTTATATCCACTCTCTTGCATCATCCTCTTCCCTCTACATATATTGTATAATGTGGCCTAATTCAGAAAGTCTCCGGTTGTTTCATAGTCAGTGATGGGAGGACAGAACCCAAAGCAGAATTCAAAAAAGTTTGTGAAAGACGAGAATCTCAGGAACGACGAGATTCCGATTCCGTACATTCCCAACTCACAAAACCGATTTCTCCTTCCACTCATTTCTCCATTCATCTCCTCCCGTTTTGTCTGGAGACTTGTTTCACGCAAAGTGCCGAAATCGGCTCGCATCGACGTAGACGGGTGACGAAAATTGCGACATTTTGTTTGCCGTCAGAACTCAACACCAGGCCCTTACCGAGCTATTTCCACTATTTGATTGTGTTTTAAAACGGCACTGTGCCTGGAAAGGACTTAATGCTGCCCCTTCAAAAAGTGTTCTTACTGTACCACATCACTGAGAAAACTGTAAAACCATTGCTAACATCAATCTGACTAAGCCACAGGGGCTGTGCTGTTATGATGATTTAATTAAAAATATTGAAAGTGGCTGTGAAGCAATTCAGGAGACATAATTACGCATGAATATTTGTTCTGCTGTACATGTGGCAAAAGCAACAGACACAAATTTCACCCGACCACCGTTTCGGTTCCCTACATGGCAAAGTGGATGCAGTTGCTGCGATGTGGAGGTGTTTAATTACGAGCTCAATGACTGTACTCAATGTGGCTCCACCAGCGTCTCTGTCTGACATTAAAATAAGTTTGGGAGAACACAAAAGGTACGACGAGTTCACCAGCTCCCTGTAGGCACCAAGACTACAGGGAGCCTTCCGAGACAACAAGATTAGCAGTTTGATGGCCAAACACACCCTAGTGAGTTATGTCACACACACTTTATTTATCAGGGAAAATTATAAATATAGTAGTGAAATCAGCATCTCCTTAGAGCTTGTCAGTAAAAAGACATTTCCTGGTGGATTGCCGCGTTGATTGACAAAACAGAGTGGACTAACACCGACAGATAACATGCTAACCAAAATAGCTGAGGAAACCTTAACATTAACCTGAAGCTGCTTGGACTCTGTGTCTCTCCAGTCTTTGTCCAGACTTTGGGATGGTTTTTCAAAAGGAGTGCATCATGTGCTTTAATCCGAAAAGAGACATTAGAGCAACAATTCTCTATCGCCCTCTTGGGACACTTCTGTTCCCTCAGGCTTAACACAAAGAACGTGACAGTCATAGAACATATTCTGGACCCGACTGTGTTTGGTGACTGACTTCGGCCAAAGTCCACACACCTTATGAGTCTCCCTCAAACTATTGAACAGGATATGATTCGCAAACCATAACCTATTCAGGTTTTGATATCGCTGCTGGTGCTGCATCTTTTTCAACAACACTTTGTCCTTTGACTCAGACAGCACTCTGTGAACTCTGTCATCCTCTTACAGCATGTCATTTTATGACTTACTGTTTTTATGGATGGGTTCAGTGAGTCAGTTGGCGAGGGCTGTCTGTGGTTCACAGGCTGCGGTTTGTGAAGCAAGTGACTGAAATAATGTACGTTTTTAAGGATATTTTATGTTCTCTGGGTGAAGAGATTTCACCCAGAGAAACCTCTTCAGGTCCTCTCAAACCTGAATTAGGTTTCCACGTTTATGGTTTTCTGAAATTAAGTGCCTTGAAGTAGTCTCTTGTGATGACAAGAGAGGTCAAAACCCCGCACAACATACCGTTCAGGCTCACAGCAGTTCTCACAGAGCTTTGCCACTTTCACTGTCATAGATTTAACAGAATTTCCTTCTGCTTTCCTGGCTATTCCTAATGAGGGAGGACTAAAGGTCAGTGTCGTGTCGTCACGTTTCACTGGGAACTCGTGATTTGTTCTTGTTGTAGAGTTTCCTGCTGAAGTAAATGGAAGCACGTGATTAGGCAAATTTTCTTGCTCGCTTCATTAGAGAAACATTAAAAAGTGAAAGACTGCATAATAATCATTACACTCTGTCTCGTGGGCAAGACGCAGCATTCTCAAACAGAGGCTTGGTGGTTTGTGAGATCCTCTGCCGTGCCGTTTGCTTTGGCAGTGATAAATCGGGAATCATTGGCGTGTCATAAAAATGTTGTGGTTTAAGGAAGGGACAGCTGTCGTGGTCGATCAATACCTCGCTCCAGTGTCTTCAAGTTTAATTTATCTCCTCGATTGATACCTGAATTTGCCTGCTTTTTGTGATGACAAAGAAAGGTTGTCCTCGTTGATGTCACATCTCCAAGGGATCTTATCGTTTCAGCTTTCCTTCTCAGTCAGGGAAGCACTGGAAGAGACACGAGGGGAGCGGCGTTACTGCCTGGCACCCCACCAGGACGGGATGTGCAGCAGAAGCAGGCGTCAGATACGGCCTCCCGCCGATGGAGCAAGCCGCCATCGGTCCATCTGCTCCCCCAACTGAGTCACCGTTCTTCCAATAGAATCTGCTGTCTTTCCAATTTGTGTACCTTTGTAATCTGTCTCAATCCCATGTTCGAGGTGTTGACTGAGGTTCAACGGTCGTTGCCTCTGAGCTTACAAAAGCACTTGAGCCGTGAGCTTATCTATGCAATGAAGGGTTCTCCAAACACTGTTTCCTGTTTCTCCTGTCTCTTTACTCAGGTTATCATCACAGCCTGCCGTCATCTCCTTACTCCTCCGGGCCTGAGGGTCAAAGGTTACCATCCTCTGGAGCCTTATCGTCAGAGTTCCTCAACCACGGTGTCCCGGTCAAGATCCTGCTGCTGGTGTGCAATGCTGCTGGAACAGGCCAGCAGACTGTGAGGTAAATGTGCTAAACCATTTATTCAGTGACAGGTTAGAAACCACACCAAGGCAATGAAAACATGTCAAGTTGGGGTTTAAAGTCGGGTGCAAAACCTCCTAAAAAGAAAAAAAGTGCATCTGTTCAAGTTGCTCGCATTAGACTTTCAGACCATACTTGTCGGTAATCTTCAGGTTTCATAATCCACTTTATCGACTTCAGATAAAGTCAAAGAAAACACCTTAAAATGAAAGCATGTTAAATTACAAATACAGTCTCTAAAGGTTGTAGATGTTCTTATTTCCCTGTGCAAAGAAGACGATAAAGTAGAAGGAGGGTCATTAGTGCAACCCATTTACTCAATTACACTGTTTAACTCATGAATGGATTTTCTTACAAATCTCATAACCATTTAATGGGAAATAAGCACATTATCTAACACCAGACAATAGATTTTTTTGGAGGGGGGAGAATCACCAAAGTACAAATTCTCTTTTCTTCCAAGTTTGCTTTGATCCCAAAGGTTTTAGCGCTGTCAATCACTCTCATGCTCACCCCCTTCTACTTGCTCCTTGCTGAGCTGCAGCTGGTTTACCACAACATAGCGTGACTCAAATGCTATGGCTAGTTAGCATAGCCATGAATGATGGCGGATAAATGGTTTAACGGTGAGATGTTTTCCCACCATTGGCGCATAGAGCAGCATACACAGGAAGGAGGGGGAGGACATCGATTTTTTATTTTTGCTGTCTCATATCAAACTGTCACTATATGGTGACAAAACATATTTTTGTAGAAGTTTCATACTGCCCCTTTAATTACCCTGATCAACTTAAATCCGGTGCCCATCATATGCCGGAAAGCATATCTGCTTCTCCGTTATAAAATGAGCTCAAATGAATTTGGATCTCAGTCCAAATCAAGCGACAGTTCTGACATCCGGCACCACGAGGAGCGCCGTCACGTCGTCTCACTGTCACGGTCCAAAGAGGTCAACACAGGTGAGATGACCGACACCGCAGTGGAAAAGTTAGCTCCCATCCACGAGGGCTGTTATCTCTTTTTCCCCTTCAGATGCCTTTCTGTCGTTGCTCAATCCACCCACACGTTCCCCTCCGTGCCCCTCATCAGATGGCAGCTGGAGAGCCCAGCCGAGCCAAGAACACAACATTGGAGTCGCACACACTCGGTTTTCATTCCCAGGTTTTTCTAGAATAACACGACAGGTGCATCACCAAAAAAACTGGTGCGAAACTCCCTGCTTTCTGCGTATTTCTCTAAACTGTGAAATTCTGTTTTTTAACGTGTAAAAATTCCAAACGTTCTTATCGTCTCTTCCAAAGTTGGGATGGAATCTGTGACATTTCACTGCGGTCACACTTTTGCGCTCTTTCTCTACGTGGAGGCAGGTGAAGACATAAAACACACACACATTCCCGAATTCTCGCGCTGAAAGGAGAGACTTTATTGCCTGATTTGCAGCATTTCTCTGATGCATGGGTGAAATGCACAAAGCATGTCCTGCGGCTGGTATCGGAGCTTCAAGAGCCGCCAGACACTTTTTGGGGACGACTAAATTCAACCTTGCATTAAGGCGCTGGGACATCGTGCATGTCTTGTCTGGGTGAAGCAGACAAAAGTCTGGACTGTTTCTGTTAAAGCACACAAAGCTTCCCAGATACCTCAGCAGAATCAGGCTTGAACGTGTGTACTGTAAACAGAAACATGCCTTTTCAGTAGGCTGACATTTCTGGATAGAAGATCCTTTTTTGACCTCATAAAGTATAATCTTCAGGACTAAATCAGCTATTTATTATCAAGATGATCAGAAATAAAGACCAAAATTTTATTCTGCGCGCAGTTAATCCACATCTTATACCATATTTACCATTTCTTTTAAATAATTATCATTTTTAGCTTAACGTAGAATTTAATTCCACTTTAAGCTAAACTTTTAGCTTAAAGCCAACAGGCCTTCCAAAAGCATCATTTGATTTTGTTTTGCAGAGCACATTTTGCACATTTTTTGTGACAGATTTTAAAAGTGATAGACACAAAACCTGCTAACTTGTTTGCTGTGAAATTCTATGTTTGTCTGCAGATGTTATTAAATTACTATCCCACACTCTTCATTTAAAGATGCAAATTAATTAGAGCATATCTTCTTGTCCGCTGTTCCCGTAAGGTTAAAATAGTTAGATGTGAGTTAATAACTCACATCTAACTATGTGAGTTATTAACATCTTACTGATCTGTTCAGTAAGATGTGAGATATAACTCACATCTTACTGAGTAATATTGGTAAATCACACTCATATTAGAAGGCATGTTACACACATAGTGCAGCCAAGGACCGATGAAGTGTCTGGTGTTGACATGTTGGTGTAGGGGGGCTTGAATTATAATCCGCTTTGGGTCCCTAAAAGGCTTTCGCCGGCCCTGCTGGATGGCATAAATAAAGCACAACAGATCCACAAATTAACTTAAAAACAAAGTAAAAATCAATTTATTAATCAAAACTGAAAACCAAAAGACTTAAATTCCTACTGTTACGACCCGTCTAGGGGTCCAGGTCATAACACGAGTGATCCATCCTCCTCTGATCTCAAGCGGTCAACACAAACAAAATTGACATTTTATGACGTTATTTATTGTAAAAGGATGTATTTTTTTGTTGATACCAAAATGTTACAGCCAAGGGAGTAGATCTCTTCAGAGTGAGCCCAATGACGAAAAAACAAAAGGAAACAAAAGGAACTATCTAAATATTAACGAACTTACCTAAAAAAAAATAAAGAAACCAAATAACAAAAACTTACCTCCCTAACTACGAAAACAGGGGAAAACTAATGAAACATAAACGGCAGCTCACTCCTACAAACTCCAGAACGTTACATGATTTTTACAGGCAAAACAAACAAAAGAGTGCAGCCGGTTGAGATGAGCGGAGGACGGACGACAGGAAGTGCGCGTCTGCAGCTTTTATATCTGTCACCTCCGGGAGGCCACCAATAGGACGTCCGTCGTCTTCCGTCAGCCAATCAGAAGCAGGCACCTGCACACTCAGATTTGCATAATTACGATGACGGTCGTAACACTACCAAATGTCATTCTATCAAATCTGAGGATTTTCATGATTTGATCTGTACATTCTGGGGGAAATACCTAAATAAAACACAGACAAACCTTGAAAATAAATAAAGTGTGAAGAAAGTTTGATTGAATTTATCCTGCTGTTCACACGTTGTGCCTTCTGTTTTCCAGCTCTAACCCCAGCGTTACGTTATTAATCATATTCACTCGTTTCCCATTTTTTGGTTAAATTAAAGACATAAATGAACTTTTCATTGGTATTTGTCTTTTTTTTTTTTTGTTCCATGCCACCCTTGGCACCTTCTCGTTCAATCACATCTTCACTCCAGCTTCTGTTGTAGCATCTCGATGAGAAACGATGAGACAACAAAACAACGACGATACGTTATTAGCGTAATGCAAAAATATCCCCATAAAACAAATTAACTTTGCGTCGTTATGCACATCTCTTCCCTTTCTGCCCGGTTACTGAATGGTTCTGGATGCTCGTACTGTTTCATCATAATAAATCTCCCCGAACGCTGGGGACGGCAGCCCTCAATTAGGCGTGTTATAATAGGCATGTCATGTGATCCGTCATCTCTGAGAAATGATTTTCCCTCCTTATCGTCCTTCTCTGCCCTTCTGTGGACGTTTCGCGATGAGAACTGCGTGCCAGTGCGGCACATGACTCATAAAAAAAAATAAACAAATAACCTGAGCATCATTATGTCTGAGCACAGCTAATGTGGGTTTGGTTGTTCCATTCTGCGTCATCAATTACCTTTTTTATGTTTGTTGGAAGGTTTGGGCCGCCGTTCCTAATGAGGGAGGACCGGTCTATTTCCTGGGACCAGCTCCAGCAGAGCATCCTCAGCAAGCTGTATTACCTGATGATCAACGGCGCTCACGCCCAGGTAATCGGTCGACACCAGTGTTCATGTGACGGTGAAGATGTTTGGTTTTGCTTCCGCGACTGCATTTTTCTGCCCAAAATGGATGGTAGGCATCTATTCAAAGGGGAAAATATTTGATTTTTCGCATTTTCATGCTTCCATTTGGGTCTCGGCTTCTTCTAGAAGTGCTTATCCACCAGACGTTTGGCAAAAACCTCCCGATTTTTGAGTCAAATTCGACGGGGAACTGCGCCGTCACCTAGCAACCTCAGTCGGGCCCAGTCCCTTTGGTCAGCTGTGAAGTGGCTGCTGAAAAAAAAAAAAAAAAACTGGTTTTGTTACTGACTTAACTTTCAGAAACCAATTGCTGCATTCTTGTTGGTTGTGCAGGAGGCTCTGCTTCTGCTTTTCAAAGACGCACGGCTGTACAATTGGGCCTCTGCTTGCAGCCATCATCACGTGCGACAGTAAACACTGAGTTTCGGGCGTGGCCAGCTCAACTTTTGGATTTAAAGTGACAAGAGGCCCCACAACAGAACTGACTAGAATAAAATCTCCTTGTCTCAAAATGATTCTGTGCAACAACAAAAAAAAGAAAAAAATGTAATCAGCATAATTTGTACAGTCTGTAGAGTTATGCTGATCTGTTCACGGAAGCATAATAGGTCACAATTAAGGAGCAAAAAGTGTTACAATATTGCTACTTATAGCAAAGCAGGCAGCAAATGAGGTACAAAAAAAAAATCACAAAGTCGCAATAAAATAATCTGTGGCAGTAATTTAATCAGGTTATTAAAAAACGGGGTAAAATAATGATCCGCCTATGAAATTTATAGAGCCTATATCAAGCGTCCAAGTGTGAGTGTGGGTGTGCTGTGAGCGCCGGCTGAACCGGGACACGGTTTCCGTCTGCCACGTCGGCTGGCGCACCTGTTCCTGAGCGGGTTTATTGGCTCGAGACAGAGGGAAGCGCGGCCGCCCAACGGCGCCGGGTAAACCTGGCGGGAAGGGAAGCGCCAGCCGGAGACGAAAAGAGCCGCTGCCGAACGTCTCGCGGCTCTCAGCGGCGCGGCTAAGTGGCCTCAGGTGACCTGTTCGCCGGCCAAGCCACGGTCCACCGCAGAAACACGGAGGCTGGAGCAGAGAATCATGTACTGAGAGCGTTTTTCAATGAATATAACGGTAATGGCATAATATTGCAAGATAGCATTCTCATTGATATAAAAAAAAAAAAAACAACTTTCAATTCTGATGGACTTTTAAGACTGGAAGTGGAAGACATTTTAACTATCCAAAAAAAACAAAACAACAGAAACAACAAATAAAAGGAATTATAAAGTCTCTGGAGACAAAATTGTCCTTCAAATGTTGGTCTGGTTGAGACGAAAGCATCAGACCGAAGGCTTTTATCGTCCAGTTTTTGGTAGAAAAAGAGAGAAAAGGAACAAAAAACAACAAATCGTGCAAATAGAAATTATTCACCTTGTTTTATTTATCATGTGATTAACCGATTTTTTGCTTATTGTGACACGCCTGGAGTTTCCTGCTTAACCTGGACCGCTTTTATGTAAAGGTATGATTGCAACTCTGCAAGGGAGCTGAAAACAAATGTGACATTTTGAGGAAATTGCAGTCAGCAATTTCACAGAGGAGCTTTGGATTCGACCCGCTGGAACGATGCGCAACATGTTATGTGACGCTGTGAGAGCTCCGGTGGAGCCAGCTGCACATGAACAAAAACAAGCCAAGATCCTCCTACCACTTCCTGTTGTCTTCTTTGTTGTTCCTGCCAGTAGTAACTTCCGGCTGTTAATCACGTGATTCCTGTGATGCGAACAAAAGTGTTTCCATTACAGTTTTGAGTAACACGTCTAATTTGATAAAGCTGAAAAAACGTCCAGAACAAAACCGAAAAGTGTGTTTGCTTTTTTTTTTTTCAAAATTGCCTTGTTTTCATTAAGCAAATTTATGTCCATAATTTCAATTAGTCTGATGCTATGGTTATTGGGAACCCGGTTTTTGAAATGCTGTCATGATCTGACAAAAAAAACCAAAAAGAAACCTCTTTGGCGGGGTGTGAATACTTTTGTCCCGTATTTTTAGTGTAGATTTTCATTACTTTTCCAAAGTAATCAAAACTTTCTGTTATTGACTGACACATAAAAATAAAATAAAATTGGTCGTTGTTGCTTCCAAAGGCGGATCAACAAATTATTAATATTAAAATAATTAAAAAGCTTTGAATAGTTGCGTGCATTCCATTTTAAATAAAAAGAAAATGAAATAAAATTTCAAAACACTCAAAAATCTTGTTTTCCACCTTATCATAATAGGGTAGAAGTTTGACGAAAGACATTAATTTAACCCAATTTAGAACAATAGTGAAACGTTGAAGAGGCGGAGCGCCGTGAATACACATGGCATCCGACCACGCTGGATTTCTCCCGTATTATCTTCCACCGTATTGATAAAATCGCTTTGCATATGCATTGTTTTTGCATACGCAGAGCAACACCTGCGTGTGAGCCCGTCGCCAATATTTCTGATCACACCGTTGATCGCGCTCGCATGTTTCTCGCCGTTGTTCGCTACGGAGTGAAATTTAATTAAGCTTTGTGTCGGTCCAAACAACGGGTCGTTTTGTTTCCACGCCTGCTGTCAAGATTGTAAAACCAGAGAGACAATAATGCAAATTCAAGCCAGGCTGCTCATATGGTCAAATCAATTAGTTACTTCCCGGGAGATAAGAGGTCCTTCAGGTTCATTGTTTGCTCGCAGACTAGGTTCCCACTAACCGCCAGGGTCTTGGTTTTGGGTCGCGTAGCCAAACGGAATCGGAGACGCGCGGGAAGCCAGGAGACGTTTATTGGATGCAGCGCGGGTGACGGTATGTGCTCTCCAAGTCGGAGGAAGGAAAGGAGACACAGATGCAGTGTGTCGGTGACGCTCCTTCAGAGGTCGACTTTGTGCCCCTCGCCGTCAGCCGTTCAATTAAAGCCGAGCTCATAAAGCATAATCAGTTCGCCGGCGCACACCTTTGCTCGGATGCTCAGAGCAGATGTTTGCTCCGAAACCTTTCATCTCTACAGGATCTGTGGGATGGGGGGGGGTTTATATGTTGTTGTTTTTTTCCAACACCAAATTATTCTCCCAAGTGAATTTTTAACTCATTTTAGTCTCAGCGATGGTGCAGTTCCCAAAGCATAAATGTGACTTTTCACACCCATTTTTTAAAAATGACTACTGCTAACATAATTTAGCATGCTTTATTTTAGCAGTGATATATGAGCACTGGCATTATTAAAGAGGCGTTATCATGTATAATTAGCTTTTCTGAGCCTCACATCATGTTGAAATGTCATTCCCTCATCAAAAACATACCTGAAGTGTTGGATTTATTTTTGTATGCATGTTTGAGAAGTCCTTTGATCTCCCATAGCAACCATTCAGCCGTGCAAAACCTAGCCCCGCCTTTGAGGGCAGCAAATCGCAACTGGCTCCTTCAGACTAGCCAACAGCTGTTAGCAAACAATAGGTGGAACTGCACATCAGCTGAGCTCATTATGCGAGCTACGTCTATGTGCAACGCTGATAAAAACGTTGCTAAAGGGTTGATAGAGGGGCCATGTTGTGATGACTTCCTGAAGGCAGAATTTTCAGGAGCTTCTTAAAGAGACAAAGGCCAAATTTCAAAGTGTTATGTTAGAAAGTCAAACTTCTTTTAAGTCATATTTGATACATATCAGTTTTTATGACAACTGAAGGTAACATAGTTATGTGACTATGCTGTAAAATGGCACCTGGTGCCTGGAAAATACGTAACACCGGCCCTTTAAAATCAACTCAACGCTGTTTTGTTGCTAAATACAGTAAAACTTCTGCCTTTTTATCATGATAGTAATGAACAAACATTGTTACAATGAAGCTAACACAACTAGATTGTGAATTTATGGCCACAGTTTGGCATTATCCCAGGCTTTAAAACTCAACTGCACAGTTTAACAGAAAAAGGACCATAGAGCAGGGCATTCTGGGAAAATATAACCAAAACAAATGAGGGTCCAGCAATAGTGGGAGAAATGGCTCATGGGACTTTTGCCAAAGACAAAAGAGAAATCACTAAGATCTGACTCTACTCCCTTTTTCATACATTTCTTGACGAAGGAAGTTGCGTTTATGTCTTTGGAGGTTTTTGTGTCGTTTCCTTCAGTGATTCTTGGTGCAGCGCCACCACAGGCGAGGAAGGGAACAGCGTTTTTTTTGTTGTTTTTTCACCTGATACAGTGCAGTGTGAAAGAGAACCGCACCGGCTGAAACTGTAACAGATGTTATCAAACCGAGTCTACCAGACTATCAGGCGTGGAAACACCCTTAATCTGAGGTCAGACAGAGTCGTGTTTTCTGTCCCGTTTTTATCTTTGCTGAAGATTAAGAAAGGTTTACCCGAAAACAAAGATTCTCTTAAGTAAGATATATAATCTGGGGAATAGAGAAAATGTAAAAGCAATATGGTACAGAGCAGAAAGCTGAACTAAAACCAGCCTGGTCTAAATTTGCAATATTTTATTTTATTTTGTTTCTTCCCCAAATTTAACCTCATCAAAAAAAATGTTTGAGCCAGGACGCAATCTTTATGTCTCTCCCTGAAGTCGGCATTTCATTCACTGGAGAAAAATTGCAAATACTCCACAGACGCTGGAAGCTGATAGTACGCTAATCCCACCGAGGGAACTGTTGAAGAAAAGCGCCTGAACTGTCCAGCTCTATTAAGCAAACTGCCTTCTTGGAAACAAAGGCGGAAAATATGGACAAATCTGTAGCTATTTAATCGAAAGCAGCTTTTTGGAAATGTTTTATTGCAGAGAGGGCAGCCCAAACTCATAAACCACCAAAACAGAACCAGAATGGGGCGCTTCCCACCGTGTTCCTCTGGCTTTCAGGCCGTCACACGCATTGAAAAAATAAAATAAAACAGGTCTTCTTAACTTGACATCTTTCATCTGGAACCATGAGACAAAGTCTCAAATTCACCAGAATAAATGAACTTGTTGGAAAGAGAATCTTCCTTGGATTCCCTCCAAGTTTACATCCTCCAAACGTCCTTCACTGAAACGTCAAAATCAATCTTTCCAGGTTCAAAAAGTCAAAAACCGAGGATTTTCTCACGCTCTTGTCGTTCCTCTTGGCTGGAGGCATGAGAGGAATTTCATGCCTCTGAGGTCCAGATTTTCACACTTAGCAATGACCTTTAGGTCGGTTTATGCTATTCCGCAACGCGCCAATAGGGGAAGAAAAAGCGTCAGAGATGCATTGCGACACACAGAAATCTTGAGCTCAACTTAACAACACGTAACATATTGACAAGATAGACCGATGCAATAGAAATCTAAATAGATGAACAAATTTTCCCAGAAATAATCAATGTTATTTGAAAGCAAACCAAAAATGTTTTCAGGTAGTGTTGAGGACAACAATAAAATGACATTTTAGGACAGAAACTGAAAGTACATTTTTGATCTCATCGTGCAAATACAACTTGAATGCCAATACCAACTTGATCCAGAGCAGAGAATGTGTGTATCAAAGCCAAAAGACATTGTGGAGAGTCTGTCTGAAGCTAGTAAAAGAGTAATAAGGCTCACAAACCCATACGGGCTGAAGTGGCACCCGGAGTGGAAGAAGGCATTTCTCCAAAAGCTGTATGAAAAGCCAGATTACAGTTTGCAAATACACTGATGTAGAAAGATCTTAAAGGGAAGTATTATTTGTTTCCCAGGCACATGATGCCATTTTCTTGCACAATCAACAAACAATGTTCACTTGAGTTGTTCTAAAAGATGGTACACATATCACATGATTTAAAAATATTTCCCTTACTTGTTTAACATCGTAGAATTGGGCCGCTGTCTCTTTAAAAACTCCTCCTCTTTCTGAAACTGCGCCTCCTGGAAGCCGTCGCAACATCATTCCTCTGTTAATCCTCTGTTAAGAAGTAGCTCATAAAATGAGCTCAGCAGATCCACAGTTCTGCAGCTCCCAGTCGTTTGCTAATTGCTGCTGGCTAGTCTGAAGGAGCTGAGCGGGGCTGCCACGGTGGGGGGGGTGCTCTATGGAAGCTGCGGCTCTGAGGAGGAGCTGGATGCACCCAAGCATTTTGCTCAGCTGAAAAACACTTGGGGGTGGTTGACAAGGGAGATGGGAGGATTTCTCAAATATGCACAAAAGAATCGAGGCAACACTCCAGGTATGTTGTTGATGAGGGAAGAACATTATAACATGATGTAAAGCTACAAAATAAAGTTGATTTTTTTATAATTCTGCCCCTTTATTATTTTGGCACTTGAGCTCGACCAGCAAACTATTGTCAGAACTGAGTTTTCCGCTATATGAAATTTAGGGTACATGTATTTATATGCCTGATAAGCTTCGGTACAACCTAAGTGTCGTACAAGCAGTTTATGTTTGATGATGTTTAACAAATATTTAATTTTCCCTTAAGGGATGCATAATCCATCGGGTATCAATATTTTCCAGGAATGGAGAAACGATCCCAGCTGACAGATACACAGCAGATCTGAGAAGAGCAAGAGGAAATCAATTTCATTTTGATGCAAAGCATGCCTTTATCCCTACATCGTACGCAGATCTCAGCGTAATATCTCTGCCTCAGAGGGGGAGGAGAGACGTTACCGCCTTATTTGTGTTTTCATTTTCCATCCAGCTCGCGTTTTTCAGTCAAACTGAGGAGATTTTGAGAGAGTAGGCTGATTTTCTGGAGGTATATTATTATTTTCGTTGGCAAGACTCTTCCGCTGGAGGCCAAAAGTGAAACTCCACGATGAAACTTTTCCCTCTGACTTCTAAGAAAGTGTCGGCGGCAGGAAGCTGCCGCTGCTTTTTAACACTCCTAACCCCGTTTTGATGCGTTTCATTAGTTTTGACCTTTGCACACGGCAAGTATGTCCCAGAGTTTAAAATTGTTAGATTTTACGAAGAAAAAAATTATAATTATGCATTAAATGGCTGCTAAGTCTGCCTGCATATCAAAACCTCCAGCAGAGCCTCTGATCCCAAGTGTCACGTTTTTTGCAAGCCACTGGAAAAATTGAAGTTTGACCTGATTTATACAAGGGTTTTTTTTTTCAGACTTTACAGTCAATGTTATGAATTTATAGGTCCAAATATTTGATTTATTATCAAACAGAAATTCCTCACCGTGCTCCATTTTGATGTTGCTCCCTACATTTTGGCTGTTTGGCAAGAGAAGTTGAAGAAAGCTTTGCCTTTACTACAAAGGCAAAACTCATTTTTGTATTCTCATTTTTGATCAGAAGACCTGTGATGTTATCAGTCATCGTTTCCTTTTGTTTGTATGAAGTCGTCGGCTTGTTTGAAAAAGAAGTTAAAGCATCTGGAAGCAAGCGGTTTCTTCATCCGAACGTCGGTCTCGAGGTGGAGCGAGCTGGTTTGAGCCTCCCGGTTGCATCTCAGCAGCCGGTTTGGTGGATCAGCTGATTCTACCGGAACAGTTATTGTTGGCAAGACTCTTCCGCCGGAGGACAAAAGTGAAACTCCACGATGAAACTTTTCCCTCTGACTTCTAAGAAAGTGTCGGCGGCAGGAAGCTGCCGCTGCCTTTTAACACTCCTAACCCCGTTTTGATGCGTTTCATTAGTTTTGACCTTTGCACACGGCAAGTATGTCCCAGAGTTTAAAATTGTTAGATTTTACGAAGAAAAAAATTATAATTATGCATTAAATGGCTGCTAAGTCTGCATATCAAAACCTCCAGCAGAGGTTATTGTTATCCCGAACTTATTGTTTTCGATTCTGTTGCCCAAGTGGCGGAAAATCCACGTTTTATCCATTGAGGGAGCTAAATTTGGGATGTACTAAACTGCTAAAATGAGCTAAAACAGAACACAGGTGAAGACGGTGATACAGCGGTGGCCTGAGTCAACGTTAGCGTAAAATCTTTGCTGTTCTTAAAGCAAAGACATTTTAATATTTACTACTACAGCATTGTGTTTCACAGAGTTTTCAGGTGGAGTCATTTTAAGAAGCTAACATCAGCTAACGCAAGCGGTCGCCCTCCTCCCACTTCCTGTCTTCCGCTCCGTCATTTCCTCCAGTAGTAACATCGGGCTGTTGATCGGGCGACTCACTCGTCGTGTGACGCGGGGGCGGGGGGAATGTTTCCATTTAATTTCACCACTTCCTCCCAGCGCATAAAAAACTTTTTATCAAAAAACACGAGCTTTGTTCCTGTTGAGCGAACTCATTGTCGCGTTTTCATTTCGCGGGGAACAGAAAGGCAGCTGGAGTAAAGCTTTTCGGTGTGCTGACGGCGTGTTCGTTGTGTTCTTTCAGAATATCCGAGTGCTTTTCAACATCCGAGTGGTGGGAGGGGCCACATTTCACAACTACCTGTCGCCTCAGGATGGGAGACCGCTGTACCACCCCGCTGTCGACAGGTGAGAGTTTGTGTTTCGTTTGTTTATAAGAAGTGAAACATTTTCTTTGCACATAAAATGCTGCGCTTTGTTCAACTATTCATCAGAATACTCAGTAAATTTTCTCACATTTACTGAGGTTTCTCTCCTATCTGAAAGAAGTATAGTGTTTCAAACTATTTCTACTCTTCCTGTGCTTGTTCGGTCAAAACTAAGACTAAGGTGAAAGGTCAGAGGGAAAAAAATCCAATCAAAATTCAGCACTGCGATAAGATGCCCAAACATTTTTAAACCAAGTGATTATATTGCATGTAATACATTAAGTCTAAAGAGAAATCAGAAGATCTTATCTAATTTGACAAAGTCTCTCTGACGTTTTACGTCTCAGCTGCGACTGTGGAGCAAGTCGCAGCGTCAGGTCGTTTCTTCACAAATGCAAATCTGCTGCTGATTGTTGCCCTCATCGTGAAAGAGCTTCCATTTGTGCGGCATAAGAGGAGTTCCTTCACCCGCTGAATGGCGCTGATGGGAGCAGAAGCTCTCGGGGTCTTTTGAAATGCAAATGCGTTCGCATGTGTGATGACAGCGCCGGAGCCCGAGACGCTGTCCCCGTGGAAACACAAATAATGTCGGAGGACGGAGAAAACCACCGTGATGTTTCAGTCCCCTTTGGTCTTTTTCTGTGGCGGAAAATAAATAATAAATTATGACAGAGCATAGAATTAGACTGAATAGATCCGCCCTTATGGATCAAGCACATTGCCTCTGATACCCAGTCTGGATTTTTTTGTCCCACATTGGGACCGATACGGCTATTGATATCGTATTGGCGCATCTGGTGTCAGATGGACTGCTACAATGCCGTCCATTTATCCACGTTCCGTTACTTCCTGGTTCTACCTGGAGTCCCGAGAGGTTTGCTAAGTTTACTGGAACGTTAAAGAAGAGAAAAACAACAACTGCTATGTGTTGAGCTCAGTTGCTGATCTGTGCCACTTATCTCAGTTTTCTTCAAAGGATGATTTAAGGTTTTCCATCGGGAGAGGGACTGACGTTTGTCCGCTCTACTCAGATCGTCGCCTCCACTGACCAGCCGTGGCAGCCGCACATTTCCGTGCTTCCAGACTCTTTTCTCCTGCCGTTATTAAACATCCGTTGCATCACACCACACCGTGGTGTCTTCACTCTGAATGCAGAGTACCTTCATGGATTATTTACAATTTCCTGCTATGGCATTCCGGCTTTCTTAATCCGGACGATGTTTTCTTGAAAAACAAGTTGAGACTCTGCAACCAATTAAAAAAAAAATGGTTCCAACTATTTTGAATTTGTAGAATATTTTCAAACTGTTTTTAGTGCAAGCAGCCTTGCACTAAAAACATTAACGTGGAAGGAAAAGTCAGAGCAGATGGACAAGTTTTAAAGGTGCCGTACTTAACTTTTATAAAGTAAAAATGTTTTGATCAAATTCTCATTATGTTATAGCAGTATAGTATAAGACAGATAATTTGTGGAAAAAAAATCAAGCTCTTCTGCCTTCTATTAAATGCAGAAATTCACCATTCGGCCAGAAACAACCAATCAGAGCCAGGAGGCGGGTCTCAGCGCTGTCAATCATGCCCTTGCTACAGCAAAACAACATAGCCAGTTAGCATAGCCATAAATGACGGCGTATAAGCGATTTTCCTGGAACACTAGGTTGCTTTGCCACTGCTAGCCCATTTAGCAGTGTGTTCATGAGGATGATTGACAGCACTGAGACACTCCTCCTGCCTCTGGCTGTTTGTTTTTAACCTGGAGTGGTGCATTAATTCAGGAACACAGCAACGAGGTGAAGAACATCGATCTTTTCACAGATTATCTATTAGACTTTTACTATATGATGAAAGTTTGAACAAATATAGAAAATAATAAAATACTATTTTCTGTAAAAGTTACACACTGAAGCTTTAAGAGGTCATTTAAAAACAGATTTTTTTAGAGGATGGTGACAACACCTGAGAGCAAAAGAAAAATAAAAAATACCAAGACTAAAATGTCCCAAAGTGGTGAAATATTCTTTGAAAACATCGAAGAAGCAGCAGCAGAACCGGCAGGACTTAAACGAGCTACAATCTTTGGTAAAACGGGCCGAGTCACAGGTTCCGATAGGACAAAAAGTCAATCATGTCTGGCAGTCCGAGTCCCGTCAAATCAGCCAGAACCTGGAAGACAAGGAATGCCACTGATAGTTGTTTATTTTTGTCAAATTATTTGTTGTTGTCATTGCTGTTGGCTAAACATGCATTATGTACACTGAGTCCGCGGCTGACGGAGGTGACGGATCCCTCTTGCTTCTAACTGAACTGAAGAGAGTTTTTCAAATTCTCTTCTTGTTTTTATATCAATGTGTTCTGGTTCAGAATAAAGAGCCGTAACATCACTGACACCTAGTGGGTAGAAAGCTGTAATACGTTACAGAGCCAGGCACCCGTTTACAGAAATCTCAGCAGTTTCAGGCTCCTAATAATTTATTCAAACGTTTTTTTTCCCCCTCCAAAATAAACAATTCAATACATTTTGGAAACATGAACTGAGTGGATAGTGTGACTTTGTTGTCTTTTTTTTGTAAGACACAATAAACACATGCAAGTTAGATTTCAACCTGATACCTTTTATAGTATGATAGTCTTTTTTATTTATTTATTTATTTTTCATTTTGAGCTGGTCTGCGATACTGAATCTCAGAAACAAAAGCCGAAATTTGCTAACCACGATTGATTAGAAGGAGCCAGAGAAAGGATGAATCTCTTCATCTGAAATGTTTCCTTTGCCCATTAGGGCCCTGAAGCTGTGTGGTTCCGGAGGGCCTCCTCACGTGAAGCTCATCATCGAGTGGGAGCACAGAGTCAAAGACTGGTCAGTGTGTTCCTCTGTCCCTCTGTGACGCCTGGCTGCATCGGTTCGTACGTTTCTCTAACGTTTTTGTTTCTTCTTGTTGTTGTTGCGGTTGCTGCCGGGTGCCAGCCTGTTCGGGAACATCCACGAGGAAGTGGTGAAGGACGGAGACAGCGTCCGAAACCTGCAGCAGCAGCACGTCCAGCAGTTCAGCTGCACCTTGGACGAGTGCTTCCAGCTCTACACCAAAGAGGAACAGGTGGAACTGCAAAAACTTACCGAGGGGTTTTTTTCCCGTCCAGTTCCCAGTGCAAATATTGTAGTTCACTGAAAATAAGACAAAACTGGCATAAAAGTAACTTTTCAGGAAGACGTAGGAGCTTGTTTTAAGTCAACAATTCCTTAATGTTGGTGAAAAAGTTTTTCTCACAGGCAGATTTCACTTCTAACAAAACATTTTCCCGATCTTATACACTTAATGTGTACATTGAATATCCACATCCATATAAAACCTAATGTGACCTATATTTTACTCTCTTGAAAATTTTTTTTTTTTTTACACTTGAGGTAATAATACTATTAGTACTAACTTACAAGTAATATTTCAGCTTGATTTAGGTCAATACTTTCTTAATATTGTTTTTAAATAGCTACTAGTTCCACTGGCAATTTTATTTCACTTATAAATGGGTAAAAATGTTATTGAAAAAAAATTGCCAGTGGAAATAGTACTCTACTTTTATTATTCAATATTTAGGAATTATTGAACAAAACCTGGTAAGATTTTGTTTTTTTTCAGTGTGTTTTTTCTTCCACTTTACAATTACACACTGCATTGTTTGTCTTGGTTTGTCTCCTGAAATAAACGTAACATTTTGTGACTGTGACTTGACGGGCCTCTTGTGGATTTCCTCCGTCTGACTTTGTGACTTTGTTCTCTCTCTTCGTCTTTCCGTGCCTTCCCTTCGATCAGCTCGCCCCAGATGACGCCTGGAAGTGCCCGCACTGCAAGCAGCTGCAGCAGGGCATGGTGAAGATGAGTCTGTGGACCCTGCCGGACATCCTCATCCTCCACCTGAAGCGCTTCAGGCAGGTGGGCGAGCGGCGGAACAAGCTCACCACCTTCGTGCAGTTCCCCCTGGCGGGCCTGGACATGACGCCCCACATGGTGAGCCGCAACAACGGCCCCTACCAGGGCCCCCTGCAGGCAGGCTGGAAGCACTGCAGGCGGCCTGACCAGGCGCCACCAGACTTCCTGTACGATCTCTACGCCGTCTGCAACCACCATGGCGGGATGCACGGCGGTCACTACACAGGTCTGGATTCCTTCTGGGGCTGAAACGATTAATCACAATTAATCACATTAATCGTGATTACCTGCTTTTTTTGAGTTTGTATACTCCTGTTGACAATTAATCGATTGCTAAATTAGTTTAAAATAATTTTAATGGTTAATCATGATCAATTAATCCTGATAAATCTGATTAATCATGATCATTAGTATTAATCATGATCGTTAGTATTAATCATGATCATTGGTATTAATCATGATCATTGGTATTAATCGTGATTAATCATGATTACCTGTTTTTTTTGAGTTGGTATACTGCAGTTGACAATTAATTGATTACTAAAGTAGTTTACAAATATTTCAACCGTTAATCGTATTAATCACGATAAATCCAGTTGATGTTGATAAATCCGGTTAGTCGTAATTAATCATTGCAATAATCGTCAACTAATTTAGCAATCAATCGATCGTCAAACTCAAAAGAAGACAATATATGCATTTAAGATGAAAAACCTTCTTTGCCTGTAAATGTTTTACCCAGAACTCCTCACGTCTCATAGTTTTAGCTTCATGCTTTGCAGGTTTCATTTGAGGCAGTAAATTGTTTTTATATTATTTCTTTAAATGAGGGATTTACTTATTTGTTTATTTTTCATCTTATAATTGAAGAAACTAAGAAGAAGCTCAAGTAGTAAAATGAAAAAATTCTGCTGAATTTTAGCCATGTTCTCCAAATCAACTGATTTGGAGAACATGGCTAAATAATCAACAAAAATAATCGTCATCCACATCCTACTTTTTTTTTCTTTCTCACCGACATAAACCCTGATTTTCCATTTGACCTGTAAGTTACGCGCCTCTCTTTCCCGTTGCTTTGGTCGCAGCCTTTTGTCGAAACTCAGTCGACGGTCAGTGGTACAGTTACGACGACAGCTCCGTTGAGCCGGTCCCGGAGGCCGAGGTGTGCACACGAGGAGCTTACATCCTCTTCTACCAGAAAAGAAGCACCATCCCTCCCTGGTCTGCCAGTTCCTCCCTCACTGGTTTGTCCCTCTTCTCACTGGTTTTGTTGTTTGTTTTTTCATGTGAAATATATGCAAAAAAAAAAAAAAAAAGAATTTGGTGTTTTCTGGTCAGGTTCCACCTGTTCATCCACCTCTGACCACTGGCTGGTCCGGCTGAACGGGGGAAGCTGCGACAGCGGCAGCGTGGTCTCAGGGGTTCCCAGTCCAGCTCTTTTGGAACCGGGATTTGCCCCGGAGTCTCCCGAGTTGCCGGTGTTTGGAGACGAGCCCAACAGAGGAGTAGAAGGAAGTGAGTATCTGTATTAAGAAGAACAGAGACTTCCGACAGTAATTTATGTTGTTGCAGTTTCACCGTTTAGGTGTGTAGGTGTTGGACGTGAACTCATCCAAAACCTCAAACCACATTTGGAAAAAAATTAAGTAGCTTTGGCAGTCCAGCTAAACTCAGGATAAACACTCGGGATAAAAATGACCTCATCGGCAACAAATTGTAACAATGTTGATATCGAGATGCAGTGCAGAAATATTTTTAGTCCCTAAATTTTCATTTGAGTTTTTAGTGAATTTATATGTGACTCATACCTAATATTTAATGTGTTTTTCTAGATGGCTCCCATCAGATGATGCGAGGTACCAAGGTTAGGAGCTCGAGCATGAGATCACCTGCCAAACCCAAGGACGCCCTGAACAAAGTTCTTCCACTGCGTTGGTCTTTTGGGTCCAAAGACCGCATAAAGCACCCGGCACAAGTCCAGTCTGGAGAGCTGGTGGAGTACCTGGAGTCTGGACGCCGGCCCAGATGCACCAAAGACCCTATCATCACACTGGTGGCCACTCCGCCACAGAGGAGAGTCCTTGACGTGGGACGGGACTGCAGCTCACCCGGCGGCGGCAGCCTCAGCTGTACGGACAGGCTCAGCTGTGAAGCTTGTTACTCTCCCAAAATCCCAGAGGGGCAAAGGCGAGCCTGTCTGGAAAGAAACGCAGGCCAAGGATCTGATAACGACGGAAACCTCCGTTCGAGAGATGACGATGGTTTGAGGCAAGGATCTTTATCTAAGAGACTGAGAACTGACCAGGTCAGGGCTCTGGACTTCCACCTGCAGAGAGGGGGCATTCTGGGTGGCCATATAAGCCACAGCGCTCCTCCCAGCAGAGAGTCTACGCTCAGAAGAACCACCGTTCAGGCGACTGGCCTCACAAGGGCCCAAAAAGACTTATCACAGATGATGGAAAGCAGGAGGGACCCAACAGGAGACGAGGGTGAGAGCCAAGAAAATCTCATGTCATTTTTCAAGCCGGTTTTGATGAACAAAGACGTTCCTAGGACCCCGGGTAAGGAACAAGTGAGACAAATGAATGGCCACGAACATCTTGGAAAACTAGCGAGCAGTAACTTAGCCAAGCTGTCGCTTTCCAACGGGACTCTTCCAGCACCAGGCAGCAGCGTTCCCACCTGCGACGGCCACAGCTGCAAAGCCCATCCGCTCAATGGAAAAGCTGCTAATCAGGAGCCTGTGGATATCCAGCGGGCTCACAGCTCCAGCAACATCCAGACCAAGCTGGATTTCACGTTTCGCAGATGTGCCTCCCTCCAGAGGAACGGGGAGGTGGGGATCCCTCAGGCGCACCGTGTCCTGCTGTCAGACAAGCCTGGCTACTCCACGCTGCAGCGGACGCGGTACAGCACCACCTCCCTGGGTAGGCAAAGAGGTCTCCATGAACGCTGGCAAAGATGTGTGGAAAGCCTTGAAGTAGATTCCTATTTAGTAATCTCACACTGAGAAACGAAGAAGTCGGTGATTAATTTGAGCAAATTCATTCTGTGAGGGGGTGGGGGGATTGTTGACACCCCTGCTGTTAATAGAGCGATAGTGGCTAAGCTGGTATGGAGTTTGTCATGTTGTGGATGGGTTGCAGGTTTGAATCCCTACTATATCCATCTCTTTTTACCGTTGTGACACCGTCTTCGCCCCAGGATAGCTGTGGCTACAATGTGGCTTACCACCATCAATCATAAAACTTTGTCCATATTTAGCTAATGTCTAAAAAACACAATTTCACAATTGCCGTGTTTCTGTTACATAAGAAACGCAACTTAAGTCTCCCTTGAATAAGTCTGTTAACGCGACGAGTCGTTCAAAAGCATGCTGCGCCATCCTCCTCCTAGGACTTCCTGTTGCCTCTTTCGTCTTTTCCGCCAGTGGTAACAAAATGGTTGTCGATCGCATGACCCGGTTGATGCGAAAAGTTTTTTTCCCGTTGCAGTTTTTGTGAAAAACTCAAATTTTTGGCCAAAAAATCCACTTGATCATAGTGCAAAAAAACTGTTCATTGAAAAACGTGATTTTTTATTTTGTTTCCCAAAGTTTTTACGTTTCCATTAAGTGTATTTATTTTTGAAATTGCAGTTTGTGTGATTTTAAGGTCAATGGAAAAGCAGCCATTGTGGGTATAAATTGGTAAATGAATGATTGGAGTTTAAAGAAGCTTTGGAGTCCTCCGACTTGAGAAACCACCGTGGCAGCAGGACAATATTATTGTCTATTACATTTGGGTTATAGGAACATATGAGCGACATGTATGGGTTTATGACTGAAACACTTAAAATCTGCAGGTAAATGAAATGTTTTTCACCTCTCTTACCGTCCTCTTACCATATCTGTTCTGTGCGTTAGCAGAACAGATATGGGTCGTCTTTCGGCGTATTAATCGTTAGCTTAAAGAGTAAGACCTCTGAGAAACATCATATTTACTGTAAGGCCTTTCACACATCTTTACTAACAGATTTGCCTGCTTCTGTTTGATTTTCATTGTGACACTTATGAAACTAATGATTGGGTTTGTTTGTTTTTTTTCCTACATAAGTGCCCATGTGACAGCCAAGAATGACGGCCAGACAAAAGAACCTCTCACCTGGCACCCAGAGAAGCGCCCCCTGCTGGAGGCATTGCTCACAGCAAATGACATCTCTACTATTTTTTGTTTCTTTTTTAATTATTCTTATTTAATCTTTTCATTGTACTGTTTTAGGTTCTTACCTGTGTGTGTCTTAAACTAAATCTATGCAGAGTTTTAAAAAGAATCTGAGGGAAATTACTAGTCCGTCCCCCTCAAGTCACTCTTTTCTCACACTGTTTTTACAGATTTCTCTTTTTTTTTTCTTTTCTTACTGTCTGTTTGAGTGAATCGTCAGCATTTGGGGAAAACGAGAGCGATTTGTGAATGCTCTGCGCTTGAGCTTCCACGCAGGAAGTTGTTTTTCGACAAGTGCAGTTTGTATTGACGTGTAGGAAAGCAATATTTGCTCTGCTGGTGGGCCGGCTTATTGAAAGACCACAAAAAAGTACTAACACTGGCCTAAAAATTTAAACACTGGACAAAAATAGTTTGCTGTTATAGAGTCCATTTTTAAAACAATTTATTTATCAAATTAATGTATATATATATATATATCTATATTATTAATGCACTTCTTTAAATGATTTTATTTTTTTTATTTTAACAGGCGACTAACCTGTCAGATGGCTTATGGAGGCAGTGGCACATGCTATTTTTTAAGCCTTTGATACATGGAGATGTGGAAAATCATCCCATAACCGATCTTCCTGACTTTTGATGTTTTGTGGACTGATGCAGCAAGAATTTGTGCGTTAGAAACGACTCCATCAGAAACCAGCAAATATAAAAGGAAAAAAACAAAAGCAAATAAGGAAATGCCTCTGCCCCCTTTATTGATACGACGTGACTTTTTCACATTTTGCACGTGAAATTCGTTGGAATTTTATGTGCTGGACCAACATGAAGTAGTGTCTGAGGTTTAAACCTTAGCACAGTATCTCAGTTGCGTTTATGTCTGGGTTTTAACTGGGCCGTTCTAACACAAGAACGTCAATCTAAATAATTCCAAAGGACATCATAGTCCAAAACTATTCACACACCCAGTGGATTTGGGTTTAAACTGATTTTTTTTCTTTCGACCGTAAAAAAGAAAGCAGAATCCTGACTTGAATCTGATACTGACACGTGGAAGGAATTAAAATCAGGGTGATGGCATATAAAAGCTCTCATATAAGATTCTTTTAAAAATGTCCACAATGCGACGCAATGTGGAAAAGTTGGTGTGATGATAGGAAAGTAAAGACACATTCATACAAAACTCATTACAAAGGCTCCCAGCGTAATCCCTATAATAAATATGCAAATGGATATGAGTTAGCTGATGGCTAAGAGAATCCCAGACGAGCTGCAAAGCAATAAGTGAGAGATTTAATATTCAAACCCAGTTGTAAGGATGTAAATGTGTGAAGTGCAGTGAAATTGTTTCTTACAAAATATAACTATCAACAAAGGACTGGATCCAGGGGCAGCTTTTGCAGCTTCTGTTTTTTTTCCCATTTGTGATTGAAAGACGGAATTATTCCGTGCAAATTCACTCCGCAGCCGTAGAAGCGGAATAATCATGGTTCATTGGATTCTCATGACTTGTTTGGGTGGTGAAGGTTGTCCATTAATGCACAGTTTGTAATGCACGTGGCTCACAGTCTTCAGTCGTAAATATTTTGTGTCTGTCAGCTTTTTTTTTTTTCCTGTCAGGAGTGAAAGTCAAAGAGAGTATGACCACGGTTTTGATTCATTTTCAACCTGAGTATTTTTCAGTTTTTGTCATTTTTACGTGCTTCCTGATCTCTCATTTGCCTCTGAGGAATATTAATCTACGTCTTCGGCTGTAAGAAAAAGGAAGGATGCGATGAGACATTATTTCTGAAATTTGGTTAGATTATATTTCAGTAATTTTTTGGGAAAAAAAAAAGTCTACGTTTTGTACCTAATTTGTAACTGTGCCATTAAAGGACCAGACTAAAACTGTATGTTTCACACGACTTCATATGGTCAGAATGTTACATGGAGGAAAGTGGGTTTAAATTTGGACACCTGCACATACAAGCCTTTGTGTTGGACTGTCCATTATGTGTGCCGCAATGCAAGTTTTAACGATTGCAAATTAAACACAGCCTTTCTCACAAATGTCTTCTGTGTCAGGTGTGATTTATGACGCATGCTAATGTTTTGAGTGTCAGCATAGAGTTTTATGCGGCAAATATCTCTGCACCGAATGCCTAGTGACCAATATTTCTAATTCTACCCAAAACAATGGCAGCCGACATGAAAAAAACAACCTGACATAATCTGTATATTGCCCAATTTCAGCAACAGACACTGCCTGTTTTGTCATTTTGCTGACTTTATACAACAGCCGTGGTGTTTCAAACTGGTTGTAGGTTGTTGTGAGTGTCAGAGGACACTTTTGGACAATTATAAACTGTCCAAAAATGTTCAAATAAACTGTGGCGTAGAGCCATGACGTACCAACAGCCCAAAGGATTCACAAGAAACTTTCTAAAAGAGACGTACAGCAGAGAAACTGAAAGTAAAGCAGGAATATGTTCCTTCAGGTTATATTCAGGAATATATACTGAAGCAACTTTGTCCTCCACTTAAGTCAGAACTTGAATATGAAAATGACATCAAACCTACCAAAACCATCTTCCAGATCCAAGTTCACACATCAGTAGCATTTGTATGTTGTTTTGCTGAGAGGCTAAGCTAATTTCTATTAGCAACAAACTACTAATCATGCATTTTTCTGCATTTTGTGTATTCAAACATGAGCAAGTACTCCCAAAAGGAGTTTCTATTGGGAGAAACTCCTTTTGGGATACACAGATAAACATTTATCTTCTTCAAAATATGTGACCACAGCCATTTGACAAAAAGATCTTGTAGTGAAGTTCTACTTTTATTCATAGATAGGAAGACAGACGTCAAAAGATGCAGAAAGTATTTTGCCCTGTACCTCACTTCTTTTCGTAAGTGAATAGAAGCCTATTTTAAATGGATGTTTTTCAAGAACAGTATTTGTGTTTGCGTCACTATGAACTACGTCACAAAGACACGGTCACCTGAAAAAAGAAGAAACAAATTGTTTTTCATCGTCGTTTTTATCGTTGTCACAATAGTATTGTGAAATTCTCAAATCCACATCGTCCCCCTATACCGCCGATGACGACGACACGTTTTAAATCGGTCAGTCGCCGCAGCGTTACTGCACCTTGCATGCAATCTGGGTGTAATCTGGTGGCACACCAGGAGATCCAGCTCAGCTCGAGACGCAGGGCCAAGAACGAAAACACAGAATTTGGTTGCGTTGTGAGTTCCCACGGCGGTAAACGCTCCATTCGGTTTCCCAAACGGCGAGCATTAGGCGGCAGCAAACCGAGTCGTGGAGCTGTTTCTTTAACTCCCTTTCTGTTCCGCCTCTTCAAGCACACCGCATCACACGTGTTCCCAGTCGGACTGCTGATTCAGCTTCCAGTCAGCTCTTCTTTCACAATCGGGCCTCATCCGCCCTCCACACATCACCAACAGACCATGACGCATCTGACCTCATGGACCAGTTCCAAAAAGCTGATTTGTTGCCAACATTACTATAATGGTTCTAATAAAACTTGAAGCTAGTGAACACCTCAGGCTTGATATGTTGCGTTCAGTTATTAAATCTTGTTATGGTGAACCTTGAGTTTAATAGTCATCTCTGAAGAGTTGTTGGCTAACCTTTTTACTTGTGATGACAACATCTGCCTTAGAGGAAGTCTTTCTTTATCTCCTGTGGTTAGGCTGGACAGTTAGGTTACACAACAGAGCAATATCACACGTCAACCAGACAGTCCCAACTATGCCAATTCTGGCATAGTTGGGACCTCGTAATGTACAGAACGGCATGTACACCGTCATCTACTGCCCAAAATGCAACAATAAAATGCGAGATATTTTCTTTGAGACTCTCGTTGAATCTGGTCTTTGTGGAGGAGAACAAATCAGCTTTCACAGGCTGCCAAATTACTAGATGTACAGTCCACCGCTGAGCATAGTTATTTTAATGGCCCTCCACTGTTAGATAAAACCATTTTTACTGTTGGGTGTATGAAATATTCATGCAATGAGTTACAAAAGGCTTCTTAATTCTCGCTGCCTGTCGCAACAAACCCACATGCTGCACGAGGAAATGCAGGATCGCAAAGATGGTGTGGTTTATTCTTTCCCAGTAGCCGCATTGCAGGGGCAAAATATCTGGATACGTACAAAACCAGAACTTTCCCTCAAGATTGTTTGAAGCGTCAAAGGTGATCTTAACACTTAAAACATACGGTTGGAAAGGCAAATCTCTCTGTTCATTGTGTCTCTGACAGACGGTGTTTTCTGAGGACACACTGCCGTTCAGCAGTGACAGATGGCTGTTTAGTGGTGAGCGTTGTTGGCCAAAGACATTCTTGCACAATTAAAGTGACCGGGGCAGCATGTGTTACATTACAGCATCTCTTTAGACCAATGTGAATGTGATAGAAGAAAGTTGTGTGGTGCTGCTTCCTCTTGAACCTACTGCAGCAAGAGCAAGAGTCAGTCTGCGACATGACCTCTTTATCCAAATACTGGTCTGACAAACATGTCCAGTTCTGCACCACAGAACTGGGCAGCCTGAAAGACAATGTACCTTCCAAAATACTAATATAGATTTGGTCACTTAACAAACACACGTTCTAATGTACTTACTGAGATTTTTCTGACAGGCCAAAACATCCCTCTCTAACTAATTGTGAAGACGTAGAGGGGATTATGTGGTTTTCATTTTTAGAACAGATGAAAATCTAAAACGTATGTTGGAGATCTGAAGGGAGGCATCATGCAAAATTTAGTTTTTTTTTTTGGCTTTATATTATGCTATAGTGACATTCCCTCTTCAAACACACATCCAGAGTGTTGCTTTGATTCATTCATGCATGTTTGAGAAACCCATGAATCTCTCATGTCAATCATTCAGAAGCCCCTAAAGGCCCTCTGGGGTCATTGGTCAAGCTGAGTTCCTGCCTTCCGGAGCACCCCTCCCCCAGCATCCTCCCCACACAGCTCCTTCAGACTAGCAATGGCAGCAAATATCAGACACCTGGAGGAACTGCGCGTCTGCTTACCTTACAAACTACTTCTTAGTCCAACACTCTGAGAAACGACTGCAAACGCCATTGTGGAGAATCAGTGTTGCGCTGATGTGCTGAAAGTGGAGTGTTGTAAAGGAGCTTGTAAGAAAAGACCCAAACCAACTTGTGTGTCATAAACAGCTGCAATGCAAAGTCAAATTTCTGTTAAGTTTCCTTTTGATAAATACAGCATCTTTGTAACAACTGAAAATAACACAATGAGTCGATTGTGCAATAAAAGTGGCCTTATTTTGCTTGGGGGGGGGAAGGGGAGGGGGGATATATATATATATGATATTGTTGCTCTGCCTAAACGTTTTTAGTTCCATTTATCAGTCTCATGCTGGTTCCCAACCACCATCAACTAGGATGGTGGACTCATTACTGGTTAGGGTTAGAGTTAGGATGACCTATATCAAACTGCAAACGGGACCTGTTCCAGTTTTCCTTCAATTCTGGATTTGTCATTGCTACTAGTCCATAAGGGCCAGATTTAAGGAGTACATGACTGAAAAAAAAATATTTTAAGAAGAAGTAGCTTCACATGATCGTACTGTTGTTTTTACTCTTACTTGAGTAAAAACATGTTCAAATAGTGCTACTCTAACTTAAGGAAAATTTTTTGAGGGTACTCTATCGCACCTCTGGATTTAATAAAGTCCATTTGTAACGCACACAATCAAGCAAAAACAAAGAACCCTCGTCAATATGCAGAAACCCCAACGTGCCACTTGGGGGCAGTATTCTAAAGGTATTCCAACATCTCCTCCGTTCCAGACCAAAATTAAAAGCAGATGTGCGAAGAAAGAAGAAAAAATGAAAGCAATACAAGACGGCCAAACATCCCAACAAGCGATCAGATAACATATCATTAGACCCACTCAGTTCGCCTATTTTTTGACCGAGGCTATTAAAACATATTTGAAATGCACAGAGAAAAATTCAGTGGCTCTCTTTGGAGGTAACAGGCAGGGAAAGTTGAGCCAAAGTGTAACCCACTGTAATTCCTTGTAATTTGGCACAAGCACATGTAATGTCTTCTGTCTTCAACTACTTCAAAAATAATAACTACAGTCAGTTTATATCGGTTAAAAAAACAAAAAAAAAAAAAAAAAAAAAAAAAATATATATATATATATATATATATATATATATATATATATATATATATATAAGCAGGAACGATTATCATCTTTTTTTCACTCGCAGTGCATCATAAAGTTCTACATGACCAAAGTCAGTGGGCGGGGCTAGTACTTCTTCAGTCGCGGTAATTGGTTAACAGTTCAGTTGCTGTCCTGGTTGGCCAATCAGATGAAACATGGCGACAGCTCTCATTACTTCATCACTGACGGTATTACAGGAAATATTAAGGAGGTAAAAGTCGGCATAATTAATATTATCACATGGAAAGCTTGAAATTTAAATATTTGAGTAGTGGTATGAAAAAAGTAACTTAATTAGGTATTTTAGGAATGTTTTACTCAAATGTTAATTATTGTCAATTGTTATTTATTCAGCGTATATACCGCATAGAAACGCATTTAAAAATGTCTTTGCTGTTTGACTTTATTAATTATTATTATTATTAAATTGTGACACTTTTTTCCAACGAAACAATCATACAGATTGACAGGGCGGAGCTGAAAAGCAGTTAACTGGTCCACGGAAGGAAGCGGAAATAAACGTCGAAAGCCTTCTGCTACCAGCTAGCTTCGGGCTCACAGGACAGGGCTGTAAGCGACGTTGTACATACTGTGGGGGTATCTCTTTAGAGGAAGCTGGGAGAGCGTCAAACGCAGCGGTTTTTTTTTTTATTTTGCTTTTTACTTGGACGGCTTCGAAACGGAATACTACAAGTGGTAAGACGCTCTTCTGTTTCCCCCCCCCTGTTTACGCAGACAAAACGTGTGGTCCGGTCATTTCTCGACGGTTAGTCAAGTTCGGCAATGTTCCGAGCTAGCTGCGCCTCTGCGCTAGCAACAACAGCTTGCG